CCGCAAAACGGAAAAGTACCGAATTTTTGCATTTAAATTTTATACACCGAAACTCTGTTGTAATCTTTTCGGTTAATATGGCTCCCAGTTTATTAAACCAGCTATTTAACTGTGAGAAACTTTAAAAGACAACACTGATCATAAAAATAAATAGTGTTCTTTCTATAAACACATTATATTCATCCCTGTAGGTTTTTGTGACTCGCATACAAAACCACATAATTCTATTCTTAATTTCTCAAGAATTCCGGCAAATATGTCCCTGGCTCTTGCTTATACTATGTCATTTAACAGAAGAAATTTCTCTAAATATTCAAATTTGCAGATTCAGAAAGGAGCCACAAAGAAGAAATTATTTACAATCAATTAATTTGCAGAAAATATTTTTACATTTCTAAACTAAAAATTGACATCTTAAAATATTTTAACTATGTTAGATATCGAAATAAAAGTTATGTTAACAATATAATTTTAGTTATGTTAATGATATAATTTAACCACTCAGTTATTTAATTTATGTTAATGATATAATTAAATCGCTCAGTTAGTTCTAACACTTATATTTTTACTTGAATTATATTGACAATCCAAAGTATTTATTTTGATTTAGCATAAAACATTTAATGAAGTTTTTTTACAATGAAGTTATAAAAGAGAGAGAAATTTATATTCTTACCTATAATTTTTAGAGCTTCTTCTGCCAATTTTTCATTTTCACTGATAAGAGAAATTTGCAGAGCTAAGTAAATGTTTAGAGGATCAGTATCCAAGACTGACCAATTTAGCTTTTCAAATGACGCTTGGGCGGCGTCTTTCTTTTCCAATTTGATATAACAGTGACAGATTTGTTTTTCAACGTAAAAACGCATTTGCTCATTACGGTCTACTAGTTCAAGAAGGCAGGCACATTTCTTATACCATGTTAAACATTCATCATATGATCTGTCTTTAAATTTCATTTGCGTGAAAGACAATATTACTTTGCAAATAGAACATGCTAAAGAAGTTTCTATGGTTTCATTGTTTGCTACTTTTATAACATACTCTACAATTTCATTTGCCCTTTCGAAACAAGCTGTATGTAAACGAATTTTCAGCTCAAAGCACATTAAATGAATTTTTTCTTGTTCCTGAAATCTTTCTTGTGTGACCATCATAATAAAATCCGCTCCTATGTTTTCAAACACAGTATTCTTTAGAATAAGTAAAATATTCAAGGCAATTTCTACTGTAATTCCTTCCCAGTCCTTGACTTGATTTAAAACTTCTTGTACTAGATGTCCTTTTTCCGAAAGTAAAGATGCTTTCAGTTTTGAAATGATGTAAAACTTATCTAGCTTGTCTTTATATGCTAAATCCAATGTATTAATAGCGTTTTGCCAGTTTTGAGAAGGCAGGTGCCTCAAATAAATGCTTGATAATAATCTTAAAACTGAAAATATATCTTCATTTGGAGAATCACTAGTCCGTCTTATACTGTATGCAGTTTTCAAAATATCAATTGCCCATTCATATTGCTCGTCATTATAACATTTTAGACCGACATTAAAACACAAGCGAATGAAATATTTTTGAAGCATTGTATTGAAAAGTTCAGGTTTCTCAATATTCAAAATTTCTTGAACAACGTCCTCTAAAGCGTTAGTTTTAATAATCATTTCTAAATAATATAATTGTAAGATATTCTTTAAACTTTCTTTCTCATCACAAATTAACTTACTTTTATCGTTATCTTCAGTGAAGTCTTTTAATACTTCTTTGCAAAGTGTGATATAATAATTCGCCTTTTCATAATATTCGTATTGAATAAAATATTTAATAAGTTTACATCCCGTTTTGCATATTGTTAAAATTATATCATTTGATTCAAATTTTTCATCTTTGGTAAAAGTATTAAGTTTCACTGATAAAAGGAGAATTAATAATTCTTGAAGAATCTGTTTTTCTTCGTTTTCAGTTTCAGAAACTTCAATAACATTTGTCAATATAATTTGTATGCAGGTATTACATATTTCTTCTAAGTCGGTTCTAAATTCCACGTCTTTGAACTTTTTTCCTATATAGCTTTGTAAAAATCCAAAATACTCGCTTAGGTTCCTTGCTTGCATACCTTTCTTGAGAGAGTTCAAAAGCTCTTTTAACATAGCAATAATATTGCTATATTTTAACTCGCTGGAATCGGAAACTGATGAAATGTTGAGATCACTGTTTTCAATTACAGTATCCATTTCTTCTAAAAGTAAATGTTCCGAAGACATATCTTGCGTTTAACTATGTAGACTGCAGTTTGACAATGGCAAAAGATGAAGCGGATATAATCGGTTTCGTCTGCTAAAGAAGATATGAGAAGAAAAATGTCATCATAACGATGATTAAATAATGTTGTCATTTTTCCTTAAAGACGGAATTAAAATTCAGCCGCAACCTAAAAACCAAATTTCATTCAGTACATTTTTCATTTTATTGAGAAATTAAATTTTGAACATATGTAACAGGAATAGAAAAGAATGTATGGTAAAGGTTCGACATTTTAACTACGGACAAACTTTAATAAAAAAGATGAATTAGATTATTTTTGTCGGAATATCATGTGAAAATCAATTAATATCTAATATATTAAAAATATGATAGTCTTTACAAAAGGAAGGAAAAAAATCCTTAGAATAAAAAATGAATTTAGCCCAACTTCAAGTTTTGAGATTTTTCCTTTCCCCTCCCAAAAAAAATTATAAATATTATAAGTAATAGCTTTTTGAATTTTTATTTATTAGCTGTAAATTTTTATTTATTTTGTTGTAAATTATTATTTTGCTTTTATATCTGAAAAGTATTCGAAAATGTATAATAAAAACTTTTTGAAAAGTTATATGAAAAAACATATGAATTTCGCGGATTTATTCCTTATTTACAGAAACATTTTGTATTTATGAAATCTCAAAAAACTTCCCATAATTTGGTAAAATAATCACTGAAATTCGGGTTGAGACAATGTTACGGCTCCACTAATAAAAGTTTACGTAATCTTTGCATTTACTTCTCCTGGCTCAACGCTGAAACAGTTCTAAGCTGTATGTCGAAATTTCGGAAGATGTCGTGGATTGGGTATTGACGTGGAGTAGTTTGTGTTGTATCTTTAAGTGTCATATTGCAAAGTAATAATGTACGCTTTGAAACGGGATAAAAAGGAAGAGGAAGACGGTAAATTTAGAATATAGTTCTATAACTTCAAACTAGTTATCTTTGACATAGTACTTTTTTTTTACCTGTAGAATGGATGTAGGTGTCTCAGGTTTGTTTTCGTAGGCTTAAACATTATCGGCATTTCATATTTCCTTTTTATAAACTATGTTCTGAAAGCTTTTAACTAAATTTTTCAACTTAGGATATATCTACAAATTCAAAAATCGTAAAATTTTCGAACTAAGTTAGAGTATGAAGAAGTGTTATGCCGTTATTTCAAACTATACTATTCATAGATTTGTTTTGAAATACATTCTTGCAGTACAGGTAAAATAATTCCTTAAAAAGGTGATAATTATATATTGTATTCACCAAATGCTTCTGTGTATAAGTGAGAAATCTGTGTTACACCTTTGTAAGGTATTTCTTATTTGAAAAGCACATTACGTACATAGGTGACGTTGTATATGTTTTGAGACAACCGATTTTCCCCCCGTATTTCATGGTGTTATAGTTTTTCCTTTCTATTTTTAAGGAACTAATACTTTGTTAATTGTAGGTGGCAGTGGAAATCTATTTAATAATTTGGAGAAAACAGCAGTTCTCCAAGAAGTAAGTGTTACTGTAAATTTGATGCACTGTATGTTCATTAAATATTATATTTTTAATATGTGTTTTAAATCATCAGAATTCTAAGCTTTAATATCTGTGTTTATTTTGTATGAAATGTAATCTGAAATGAATTTTTAGATTTATACATAGATTTGATTTAAAAATTCTACTGTCTCTGCAGTATTGCTTTGATTTCTGAATATTTAAATGGCCTAAGTAATAGTGTTATCAAAATGAGTTTCCATAAGCTAGAACTATGTTTATTACCATGGCATTTAAAGGAGTTAAAATAAATGTGCATATTTATTTATATTTGGGCAATTTAGTAAAAATAAACTCTTTGTTATAATATATATATGTTTCCATGTAGAAAAGAAAAAATACCAACTGTATAAAATTCATATATTATAAAAATGAGTTTCTGTAACTTTTACTATTCTTTAAACTTATATTTTATCTTGGCTTAATCAATGAGAAATTCTTTTGAAACTGCAATGAAGTAAATTTACTATTTCATGTAGCTATTATACAAATAAAGCATTTTACGTGTATTAAGAAATGCCTATTGTTTTGTTCTTTTTGGTACTCTGTAAACAAAATTGTTGAGAAAGCTTATTTTTCTCAATATCGTCATTATAAATTATTAACGAATTTAATCAAATTTGTTGAAGATCTTTGGGTAAAATCCTAGTACAGTCAAAAGTCGTTAATCCAGACTCGTCGGGACTTCTGCGATTCCGGATTATAGATCATCAGTTTAAATCTGGAGATGGCACAAAATTATAAAATAAAATATAAACGTAATTTAGTGAAATAAAGAACATTATGATCTAAGGGTATCACAATTTACAAAAAAAAAAGCTTAATATTTATTTGTGTACTTTATTACAGTTCTTCAATGTAGTTGTTAAGTTGCTTCGTTTTTTACGGATAATCATTCTTTTAATTTATAAACACATATTTCTTGTTCAGTTACAAATTTCCGCTGTTAAGTCTATAATTGCTGTCAGAATATCGACTAATTTCATCGAAATTTTTTCGTTTTCAATAACCCTTCATTTCTTCGCTATCGGACGCGAATTATAATGCTATGATTTGATTAAATCATATCAAGACGTAGTACATCGAGAAATACACATTTAGTAAGAATTATAAGCCAAATAATAAAAACATCTGCTTGAATAGATAGTGAATCAACTTCCACCGCGCCGGGCATAAAAGATAAAGCAAAGTTTAGAAACAAATTAAAGTTAGATAAAAAGTATCTTTATCCATTTTTTGTTAATGGACTGAATGTACTTCGCTTGTAGACCTTTATATTGTAAATAATCAACTTCTATTTGACATATCGAAGTTCAAGCTTACGTTATAATTGCTCTAACGTGCAAAAATAATAAGCAAATCCAGTTCGAAGATAAGGAACACTCAATCTGCAACGTTAACTGAATTGGATAATTTTAGCTTAGCTTATACCGTCCGTTATACATTAAACACGCATTCGTAAATGTATTTTGCGTACACGCATATTCGCAGCCGTAAAGGTCTCCGGATTATGGATGTCCGAATTAACGACTTTTTGACTAAGTAAACATTGGGTGTCCCACTACATTTCCACCTGAACCTGAAACTGTATATGGTATGGTCTTGACGATTTTGAAAATTGCCGCTAACACCACGTTAACTGCTCATCATGTCTACAAAAAGTCACCAAATCCCGTCTCTATGGTATACTAGGATTAAACCAATCTTTGAAATAATCGTTTTAATGTATTGAGTTTAACAAATACAGAAACATTATCTCATTCATATAAAGCTAATTAAAAATTTTAAATTATGAAAATTCAGTTGTAAAAAAATGAAAGATTAATTATTGGTGCGAATCAAGTTAAGCTAGTAATTTACAAAAAAGCTATGAAACTATTTTATTTAAGAACTTTTTACTGTTTGTATTTTTTAAACAAATCTTAACTTAGAACAGATTTGTATATTTATTAATATTTATCAACAGAATAGTATCTATTAGCCAAAATATAACCATGCAAATACGAAGTAACAATACACAAAATTGTGTGTTAGTCTTTTTTCTTGGAGATGTGGATCTATTTGTATTTTATAGCTTCATTGCCAAAAATTTTTATACTCATATATTTTTAAAATAACCTTAACAAAAGATGTAATCGATTATAAAATAGTTAAAAAATAGGCATACTTTTAAAGCTATTGGAGAATCTTAAGGTATTTAAGATAATAGCTTGAAAAATTTTTTTTTTTTTTTTTTTTTTTTTTTTTTTTTGTTTGTTTTCTGTATGACGATAGACACTCACGTTATGTTTTGGCTTATGGTATTTATATTTCTATAATACTGTCTCATGTTTGGTATTGTGTGGGTTTTTTTTTGTTTTTTTTTTTGTTTCTGTATTGACTATATACACTACACTGTTATGTTTTTGGCTTATGGTAGTTATATTTCGATAATACTGTCTCATGTTGTTAATTTTAACCATTGCAGAATTGGCTCATGTAATAGAGGATTAACATCCTTATTGAAGTGGCTACTGAGCTTAGTTGCCAAAAGTGAGAAGCTTAAATCTTCCAATTTGTAATATTCAAATGTCGCCAAATAAAGTTTTAACATAGAGTAACATTTTGAATTAAGATATGCTCTGTTTATATAAACCCAAGTGAAAATTTGTAAAATGCAATAAAAACAGTAAATAAGGAAGTTGAAAAATCTACATTTGAAGCAGCTTCTTTCATGCTGCTTTAATTCATTATATGGCTAATTATATCAAGGGATGATTTTGCTCTTAATAGAAGGCAAGTCAAGAACAAAATACAATACATTAATTTTACTTTTGTTAGAAATTTTGCATGCTTTTGATATTTTTCATAATAAAACAAATGTAGAGTTCCGATTCTTAATTTCACTTCAGCATGTAATAAAATACCTCCATATTTAAGAAAATGATTTATTAGCATAAATCTCTATAATGAATAATTTGCCTTTGTACCTGCCTTTTTGCTTGGCATACATCTCGAACCAAAATTTCTGCATTTAAACATTGTTTACTTACTGAATAATTTATATCCCTGATGCTAAATGAGCAAATCATTGTTTATTAATTTTGCTTTCATCACAGAATGATTATGGAGCTTGATTAGGAGCTTGAGAAATGGCTAAAAATAGACATGCAAAAAATAGATTTTTGTAAATGATGCTCGTAGGCCAATAGCATACAGCTGGCTAAGCTTTAGCTGCAAATTTTGAAGGTTTCCAGATATTGCAAACAAAAAGCGAAATTTTCCAATTAACAGAATTTGTGGAGGAATGGTAATAAATGAAGTTGATGTAATGTTTTTCATTTAACTTAAGGGTACAACTCTAATATACGCCCTAATTTCACCAAATGTGGCGATATATGTTCTGTGCTGGTTTTTGGCACAATTGCATGTTCTATGGCAACCCTGTTGACGAAAAATTTTTCGCTGGAGCTCGTTGTTGCCTCTGGTCTGAGAAGATGGGAGGGGAAAAGAAAATGGTAGTTGTTGAATTGAAGTTCGGCAAAGGAAAATATGATTGTGGCTATCCTGTTTTAGGTAGTGGGTATTTTGAAGTGTGGAAAGGTCTGGGAGATTATTTTTAATGGCAGTGCATATAGAAGTAGGATTTGTGATTTTATTTATTTGTGAACCATAGTAAAATTTTCTGGATAGTGTGTCTGGCTGTCATGTAAATACGATATGATTACGTGGCGGCGGGCGGTATGAATTTCTGCTATTCGAAAATTAATTCGCATTTTATTTTATCCTTTTCTTATTTTGAATGCTATGTTCAGGGTTCTTTAGTATGAATTTCTGTCGTTATTGTTGTTTTTTTTTAATTTTTGAAATTTATTTTAGTTTTTTTGTTGTGTCTAGACTGTGCAATTCGTAGATGTTTTTTAAAGTTGAACGAACGCTGTGTGCATGGTATTATTTGAATTTTTGTTTTACGTTATTTTATTAAGCGCGGAGTGCGTAGATCGTAGATTCCTTCCTTGCCTAAATTGTGCAATTCTAGAATTTTTTTTAAGTTTAAACAGGATGCTGTGTACATATATTCTTGAAATTTTTGTTTATGTTAATTTATTAAAGCGAGGTGCGTAGTTTGTAGATTCGTTCGTGCCTCATTGTGCAATTCGTAGATTTTTTTAAGTTAAAAGTCGTTGTGACTGGATTCTTGTCAAATTTTGTTAGAAAGTTTATTTTTTTTGCTTCTAATTTTTTTGTTCTTGTTTCGGATTTTTAGCTATTTGGTGTTCAAACGTAGTCTTTGCATGTGCGAAACCGCTTTTTTGAGACCTTGTAAGCTAAAAGTTCAAATGTAGACAAAATTTAGATATAATAAGCATCATGAAGTTTCTCGCCAAAATTTGGCACTGAGGGCGCATATCAATAGTTCCAACTAAGCTCTAAAAAAAAAAGAAGAAGAAAGAACGTAAAATCGTGTAACTGTTGATGTGAAAAAATGAGAGGTTGTAAAATGAAAAATTTCGATTTGCATTTGGTGGGAATTCTCAGCACAGCAGTTCAAGGACCTTTAACTGGAACTTGAAAAGAAATTGTCTACAGTAAATTTAGAGAGTAATACACAAAAATTTAAGTACCTTAGATGAAAAAGTACTAAGTCCCTCCCCAAAAAAAAAAAAAAAAAAAAAAAATGTAAATTTTGATTCCCTTAAAGTCAGGAATGCTTCATTATTTCAAAAACTAATATTTATATTTTTAATTTAAAAATTACATGTCATCATATTAGATTTAAACCGACAATCTAATATCTAGAAAAATCCAGAATCGTTGAAGTACGTATCTCAGACTTATTTTAAAATTGCTATTTTAAAATAGGAATTATACTTGATGAAGCATGAGTAGCTTTATAGTGTTAGTTCTCAACCTTTTGTGTCCTATGCACCCCTTTCTTCCTCAAAACTTGAAAAATACATACACGTGTACATAGATTATTTTAAAATCTTGTTTGTTTTAAATTTAAGGAAGAATAAGTATAGAAAATAAATATCAAAACTTTCATAAAATTAGTTTATATTCATAAAATAGGTACTACTTAACAGGTATATGTTCATAAAATAGATACTTAACAGGTAAGTAAGACTAACCTTATTCCTGTACCATGCTGTGACCTCGCTGCTTTATAGTGATTGCTATGTAAAATTTCTGCAAAAATACCTGCTTAATATTTATTTTGTTTCTGTATTTAGATGTAATCAAAATATGGATTATCAAAAATGAGTGTTTAGCTCATATATTTTTCCTTTTTTGGTATTATTCTGTTTTGAGGGCCGTAAAAAATCGCCAAACTATTGTTGATGCCAGTGCTTCCAAAAATAATTGCGGCAACCCTAACGCAAAAAAGGAATTATAATAGTAAATACCTATTTAAAGATTATTGGTTTAATTTAGATGAAAGGTTAATTTCATATATACTTTTTTATTATTACATAAAAACGGCTAAACTTAACTGAATGGAAGCATAAGAGTAAATAACTATTTCAGATCATTATTATAATTTATATATAAAAAAGGCTAAACTTAACTGAATGGATTCCTGCATCTCTTTTTCGCTACCGAGTTATCGCTAAAGAATAATTTCATCTCGTTGGTTGTTCAAACATAATTTTCTATAATGAATGATGCCTTTTCTTTGAAGAAATTCTGTTGCAGACTTTTCGTCATGGGCAATTCCCAAATTGTTAAATCCATAGGATATCAAAAAAGGATTTAAAATCAAAAAAGGATTTAAAAATTAAACTAGTAGTTCAATTGTGTCTTAAGAAATATAGAACTATCTGAACTTACGCAGTTTGAAATCAGCGTGTACGCTAGATTTGGCCCGCTGTTCAATGGGCACGTTTGCTAGATTTGACACTTTTTCGCATACATTTTCGCTGCAATTTTTGTACAGTCCTCAAAACGGTATAGTACCTTTTATATATATATATATATATATATTCAGATCAAAAAGTAAAGTTCTAACTTTATACATTTTTAGGCTAGGACTTTTAACGAAACTCCTTTGAATCCCAGAAAATGTGCACATATTTTGACTAAAGTTATCTATCTCCTCAATCAGGTAAATATTTTTATTAATTCATTTTGGTAATATTTACTGTAAAGTTTAGTTCTTAATGCATATAAGATTAATATTTTATGTTTGAAATAATATTTTCAAACTGTTAAACTTTTGTGCTGTTGTAGTGAATGAAAGACTTTTGATTTTAAAAACTAACTGAACTTGAAAACTAAATAAAACGGTCTTCTTACCTGGAACTTTTTTTTAAATAACTAATTTTCAACACAAGTTAATAAAAGCTTATATTTAAACTCCTGTGAAAAAAGTTTCAGTACTTTTCCCATTTTGCCGGCACAGGTGATAAAGTCGCCAAAAATGGTACAACCGATGCCAAATGTAATATCCTCCCTGGTAACCTTTTACGCTAGATTTTCAAAACAAGTAACTTTGAATACTTATTTTGAATACTTCAGTCTATGTAAGAATGAGGCATTCAAAACATGTAATGGAATTTCTATTACATGAATTTAAAATTCTATGTAATTTTATGCCAATATTTTCTTTGAATACTGGCATAAAATTTTTACCAGATAGTTCAATTTTATGCCCTAAGTGATAAAAATTACTTTCACGTGTTAGGCTTAGCTTTGTCAGCGCTGTGGATGTTGCTTTTTTTCTTTCGAAAAAATCAAAATTTCTGCTAAACAAACTTCTTTAGAGCATATCGTGCTGATAACGTGATAGAAATTGCTTAAATGGCAGATATATTTTGAAAATATAGTAGAAAGAAATAAGCAAACCACAAATGCACTTTACATTTTTAGTTAGCCAAGTAATTAACATGTAACTTGCATTTGTAGTTTGCTTATTTCTTTCTACTATATTTTCCAAATATATCTTACATATTTAGTTAGCCAAGTAAATAAACATGTAACGAGCATTTGTAGTTTGCTTATTTCTTTCTACTATATTTTCAAAATATATCTGTCATTTAAGTAATTTCTATCACTAAGGGCTTTTGTGGTAATTAAGTCAATTAGGATGCAATCACATCGCTCACCCAAAAGCAAAAACATAGAAAAAGCGAAGTTAGGGGTTAAATTCATCAATTCTAATGAGAGCTCTAGTGAAGTAAAGCACTGTGGTTTTGCATAATTTCTGAGTAAGCTAATTGTACGAATTGAAATAATTCTTGCATTTTAATTTGTATTCCATAAGATTTAATTTGAAATTGATATAGATAATTACTGACAGTTAGATTTTTGTAGCGTAGTTTACGTGAGACAAGATCACTTTGGGTCGTGAAATTTTAAATGATATTAAAATTTTTATGTTTTCAAAATAAAAAATTCTTAGAACTAACATTAACTAACATTTGTTATTTATGTGAATACTGTGTGTTGTTGCCAATAAAGTCTGCTTGGCGAGATTCGTGCCGGCCAAATGGAAAAGTACCAAAGTTTCTTAAAGCTTTTTGCAAGGTTGTCATACTTATGTTGACCGTCTGTGTATATAATTCCAGTTCCATATATATTTCCAACTGTACTCCTGCGAACCCAATTTACAGCTTTCTCCCAACTTTCTCTTATTTTTAAAATTTCTCACAATTTTTATATATATCATGGCTTAATAGTTCATTATTTGCATCCAGAAAAGTGATTTTTGACATCTGAAAGCGCTTGGTGTATCTCTAGATTACATTTAAAACAAAAAAACGCAAAGTCGTCGGTGAGACATTATGGCAAGCTTCTTTGTGTTAGAGTATATGTGTGTCCAAAAACGTCATGCTCCAGTTCTCTAATGAGTATCAGGTGGACACTGCAGGTTCTCTGGCATACATTCACCAATAAGTTCAAGCAAGGTTGAGGTTGTTAATTTCGTTCATCTCATCAGTGAGTTTCATATGCTTTCAAGGATGAGTTACACAAAAATTGTTATCTTTTTTCCTAATCAAGTCTGCAAAAAGATAAAATACTGATGAACTTTTCAAAAATCATATTAAAATGAATTTATAAAATTTCATCAAAGAAATGTAATGCAGTTGCATTGTGTACTGTTTCTCACTAAGACTTTTTGATTTTGCATAATGGAAAGGCTAATGTTTCTAAATGTGTGAGTATGTAAAAGTGCAAAGACAAAATAAGTTATACTGAAAAAAATGAAAAATAAATTTGTCTGTGTGAGCAAAGCACCAAAAAGTTATTCTTGCAGAATGCCTGTTCTTTATGTTTGCCCTGGGGCATAACTGCAACTGAATGCATAGGACCGTGTTGAATCTTTATTTTTAGAAAAATGTTCCCCAATGGTGAAATCACTAAAAAATTCTCAAGTGCAAGGACGAGAACAACTGCAATTGTTATAGAAATGGGTATGAAAAATAAATCTTCAGTTATTGATTGTATTCCAGCAATTTCATTGTGCCATTCGACTGATGGAAACAATAATACGGAAGCAAAACTGCATCCAATTGTTTTCTTTAATGTCAAGAATTTAAGACAAAGAATTGCAAAAACTGGTATCCATGTACATATCAACCGATTTTCACTTGCAAAAAAACATCAGAGAATTTCATAAACTAGGCATTGTGCACTCCCTTGACTTTGTCCATGTACACATCGAACTATATTCACTTAAAAAGTCAAAGGAACATCCAACAAAAAAATAAATATAATTTCTATAAACTACATTTTAAATCAAACAATGAAATAACATGAAAAAGGAAATTCATCTTTGCACTACACAAAGGAAATATTCACTTACCTTATTTACAAATTAACATGTCTTCTGTCAAACAAAATTCTTTAACAGAATCCAAAAACTTCCTAAAATTATTTGAACTAGAATGTGTATACTGGCGTCACCACATAATTCAAACGTCAAATTAATCTTACCACATTTAGCCATTTTACCATCTAAACCACAAAACAAGTAATATATTTCCTAACCAACACACATCACAAGCTCTTACGAATTTACTGCAATCATGCAACCAATTACATCATAATAAGGTTTCCATAACATTCAACTATTCAAGCTACCATAAATGAAACTACAACTTGACGATAAATGAAACAACTTCGCGATAATACAAGGGTTACCCTTCTGTCTACTCTAACCAAAAAACTTTCATTAGCAAAAGCTGTCCAGCACCAAAGAGTTACTTAATGAAAGCAAAGTCTGCCATTGTTCTTGGCATTTGCATGAAAACTAATTGAAATATTTTTTTGTTAAATAATAAAAACGTTTTTTGCTTGTAAATATTTTTGCCTATTGCATTTAAGATGAACTTTTAGATATTAATTAGTTGTTATATAAAGTTAATTCATTATTAGGCCAGTGGAACGTTAGCTCAGAAGGGCTATTAGTCTTGACGAGGGATTTTGCATTGAATAATTTTTCAGATTGTTACCACTAAATATTATCACCGTGCATTATTTTAAAAGAAATTAAATAAAGGCGAATGTGCATGAATGTAGGTATGTTTCTGGCATCGTGAAAAAACTGTACCTAGATAGGGTTCGTAGCAGTCCTTACAAGTGCTTATAAGTCCTTATATTTGAAAATAAGATATAAAGGCCCTTATAGGTGCTTACTTTTTCTTTAAAGCCCTTATTTTTTTGTTTTTAGTACTTATTCTTTTTTGCTTTTAGTGCTTTTTTTAATGAACGCGCATTTTTCCCCCATACCAAAGCTAAAACTAAATAAACAACTTTTCTTCCTTATATGGAACGTCAGATGGTGAATCTCCTGGATACTCTTACCCCTTTGAAATCATAAGCTTTATCGTACCCCCTTTCTCTGCATTAACGTAACCTATTTGGTGCGCGCAGAGAGTACAGACAGGTGCACGTCGTTCTATTGGTCAATGAATTGCGGAAAAGCTGGTAGAAAATTCCGGTACATTCGATATTCTTTTCATCCCACAACCAAATACTACACACCTTTGAATTTCTATCAAGAATTTTAATAATTTGCATTCTTGTTCCACGTAGTCAGTTTGTATTCGCATTTATTATGATCGTTATGCTTATATTATGAGCATATGTGTGAATATTTAATAATATAGTTGCAGTAGCTGCTGAAGTGTAGATAAACTTCCAAAAATGGGTGCATGTTTTACACAGATTAGCTTTCTAAAGAATAATATTCGGAATGGCTTAAATAAAAGGAAAGTAATCGAATAGTCAAAATAATTCCCCCCCTTTTTTTTAATTGCCAATACACAGTACGAAGGTTGGTAAGTTCTACCCTTTCTCCACAAAATCTCTACTATTGAAGCAGCAGATTTTTTTTTTGTCACTGTCCAATCTGGATTGAATAGGACTAAAAGTTTTGCGGTCTCCCCGTTCCAAACGAAGAATATTCTATTCCGGAAATTTAACATAGTCTGTTCAAAATTAGAATCAAAAACACCCCAGTTGAGTCTCTTCCTTTTCCTTTATGTAGTTCTTATTTTCCAAATACCAGCAGCTGTTGATTCCGATTGCGTAATATCACGGATGGAAGAATGCACGTATTGCACAATAACGTTTGCCATATTTTGCAGAGATAATTAATTTTGATGTTCAGTCTGAGATTTATTTATGAACACTTAAAAGAGTTTGACTGTGCTTTCTAAGCAGAATATTTCTCAGTTCCGTTGGTCTATTTTTATGTGATGCACATATCGAAATGTCAAAATCATTTATTTAGCCGAGAAATCTAAAGAACGGCTAAAATCTCTGCCCCTCCTCTTTTTCCAGTTATGCTCGACTGTACGGAATATTTGGCAATTTCCAAGTATGCGGGTTAGTTAAGCTTTTACTGTTAAAGGATGACTGCATGAAGCAATTTTCCGTGTCCTGATTTCAGAAATGTTCCTTTTTTTTTACTTAAATTACTTTGCTTGGAATATATGTTAAGGGAAAACTGTTATGCAATGAAAATTTAGAAAATGTTCAGAATTTTGATTTAAGTTAAATTATTTAAATATTAATATGAGTGGAAAAATAAATTGTATTTATTATTAGGTGCCAAGTGAATACAATTAATATGTCTTATTATTATTATTTTCTATATTTTGAACTGAAATTTCATCATTAAATCTTGTAATATAGTTTAGTTCTGCATAGTTTTTTTTCTATCATTCTAAACTAATTCTGTAAATTGAACTGTCATTTAAAATTTAAAAAAAAAAAAAAAAAAAAAAAACCAGTTCATTGTTTTCCATGGTTGAGGTAATGCTCATTCTCTCAATAAATATTGCATTGCTCATATTTTAAATTGCAAGTCTTAATTTTTCTTTTAAGGTTATGCTGTTGTGTATAATGTAATTAGATAGGTGCTTATTTTTCTTTCTTAAAATGTGCTTGAAAAGTGCTTATAGGTGCTTATTTTTTTAACTAAAATGTGGCTATGAACCCTGCTAGAGCCATCAAATTTTGAATAATGTAATCCTCCACTCAAACATGGGCACTTGGAAGCCCGAAATTTGAATTTCAAATTGATTTTATTATCTTTCACATTTTGTAAAACTTTTAATGAATTTTTGTTAACAAATTCAATGATTTCAAAGCTAGCAATGGCAACACTATGCAGAAAAACGTATCTCCAGCACCTGAGACTGTCTATTGGAAAGTCAAAAGATATGCTGTTTTTATGTATTTTGTGATATTGCTGTTCAATTGAATTTTATGTGGTTTAAGTGTGAAGAATATATTTAATAAGTAAGGGTAATGCATAAAACAGTACAAAAAAAACTCTTTTGGGTCTTACAGGAAATCTGAAAGCTTTCAAATTTTTTTTAAAGTATGTTTTCTTTGTATATACATTTATCATTCAAAAAATCTTTTGTTATTGAGAAAATTCTCCTGATTTTTGATTTCAGAATATTTAATTTTCAGAGTAACATGAAACATTCTTACTTTCATAATTGAAATTGGCAGTGAAAATTATTTGAATAAATGTAGTCATATTTTGACAGACTGAGGTGGGCATTTATAACAATTTATATTGCTTATGGATTTTTTCATGTATATTTATTATGACAGGGAGAACAGTTGGGTACTGTTGAAGCAACTGAAGCATTTTTTGCTATGACCAAATTGTTCCAATCGAATGATCCCATTCTTCGTCGTCTAGTTTACCTGTGCATCAAAGAGTTGGCTGAAATAGCTGAAGATGTGATAATTGTAACTAGCAGGTTTGTAATTTAAATTACTTATGATTTTGTATATTCTGTATTTTATAATAAAATGTATAATTTCCTTGTTCAAACTACCACATACCATGTCAATAATGGTAAATTTATCACTTATTTCCAAATTCTTGGCATTATAAAATCAAAAAACAATTTAGCAGTATGTAAAATATGACTTGTATTGAATGGGAAATATTATTAAGAATAGTTGTTTTATTCAATTCAGTTTGCTAATTTAAAGTCAAAAAATAAAATTAACATAATTTTATTGTAATCATAGCAAAGGGTTGCACTTTGAAATAAATTGAATTATGCTATTTTATTTTGTTGATAAAGTATTTGTAACATTCTTTACAAATACTGTTTTAATATTTTTGAACATAGCTCTTATGCATTTTCTTAATTAATGAAAACTAAAACCTGTCAAGTAGAGCTTTAAGAAATGGCAAAAGTATTAAAAGGGAACCAAGCCAGAAAATGGATAGTTTCTGAAGGAATAAATACCTCTTAAAATTTCAATAGAATACTTTTCTTTCCCACTGTTCAAAAAAAAAAAGAAAGAGGAAAGAAACAGTCAGAAGACGGTTGTCGTGTATTGATTTGAATTGTAATAATAACATACTATGAATTCATGTATTAAAAGGTTATTCTGTTTCAAAATAATGAAGACTCCATCATAAATACAAGATGTAAATGGCACTTTTAATTGACTATTGAAAATGGAACTCTTAGTAATTTAACAGTGCCATTTGGCTGTAATCATTCCAATACTAGTCAGCACTTTCAGTGTCTGAAGTATTCAAATTTAAGTAAATTTTATCTTCATGAGATGTAAAATTTTACTGTGATCTATTTAACTTTCAATACTAAACTGTACTTTATTGGAAAAAAAGGCCAGTTCTGGTAAAATGTCCTTTATGAATTTAAATGTACCTAATGACTGTACAGATTATTGCAGCCTTTTTTTTCCCAGAACAAAAAAACATGATTCGTCACTGGCAAAATTTGTATAACATGACTTAATGCAACAGGTTTTCAAACAAATTTGTTGGCCTTTATCAAAAATTAATTACACAAAATTTTCTAAGTGGTTGTAAACTTAGTACAGTTGAACTTTGAATCGCAAAAAATCCAATTCACAAATTATCTGAACTAAAACTCCTCAGATGGTAAATGGTATTTAGAGCTATGAACATTCAAGTTGGCTACATGCAATTTTCAAAAGCATTTCGAAGTAATCTGTGCCATGTAATTCACAGTCAGGGACTTCTGAAAAATTGATTGCTTAAATTTCATTAACAAAATATAACAAGTGACTTACAGGCAGACTTTCAGTATTTACATAAGACTTTTATCCATTTAGTGAAATTGCATGTGTGAAATCATGAACTAGGAAATTAACAATGAAGACACGAAGAAGTTGCTAGAGGATCATAAAAAATGAGCTGGACAGGAAAGAACTAAAACTCGGAAGTTGCAACAAAAAATGATTGGGGGGGGAACCTTTTCAAAAGAAAGGGGGAAAATAATGATATAAAAAATGAAATAAATGTAGAAAATAATGAAAAAATAATGTGATATGTGAAATTTGTGCAAAATGAGGTAAGATGTAAAGTTTTCACGTAAAGATATCAACTCGGTAAAGGGCTGCAACATGAGCATTTTTAATGACTGTGTTATTTCGCTTCAGAAACACTTTTAAAATGCAAGCAAGTCACAATAGGTGAATTTGGAGTGAAACAAAGAACCAATGAGCGTCAAACACAATGTATTTAGAAAATGAGAAACGATAAAATGTTCCTAAAATCAGTTATCTAATATTTTTATGGAAGACTGTTTTCACGTGCAAACAGTAATATCTTCCTCATGATTTTCCATTTATGCCATCTCTTTTGTGTAGGTGCAGTAAAATTTTCATGTATTTTATGTTTATTCTTTTTTTACATGATTTACATTTATTTTGGATTAAGAACTTGTACTTAAAGTACTGTTGTAAAATTTAAATTAAGTGGTCATTTATAGTCCAGAAATGTATTAATCCATTTGACATTAATTTCTACAAGGCTTACTGCTGCTGTTAACAAACAAGTGAAATGAAATATCTATTTAAATATGCAAATGTTGGATACATTTTTGTAATATTGGTGCAATTTTTCTTTTCTAGCTTGACTAAAGATATGACTGGCAAGGTAAGCAAGTTAAAATAAGAACATTCTGTGTGTATTTGTATTGTTTTTCTTATTAATATGTTGAGCTCTTAATCTCAATTTCTTTAAATTATGTATCAGTAAAATTTGTTCTTAAAATTATAATTATTTTAAATCCTCATTTTATATTTTATAAAAAAATTGCCAAATATTTTTTGCACAGAAATTAAGCAAAATTAACTCTTAAGATGAATCTTTTAAATGAGTTATCTTATTGTGCAGTTTGTATATTAATAAAAAGTTTTACCAAAACAGCCAATTTCAATTTTTACATCATGTATATTTTGTTACTCATCTAATTAAGAAAATACTAGATTTCCAAGTCATTTCTTTTGTTTATAGTTTTGTAAACTTCTTTTTGGTTAAAAGCAGAGAGTTGTCGCAGTGTCATGTGTGTTCAAATCATATGTTTCTTAGCTTTATTCATTACAGTCTATTAATGTTATGGTGTTGAAATAATGCACTAGTAAGATATATTGCCAGAATAGTAGCAAACGGTTGAGAGAAGTTTTAAAGGTGGAGGTTAAGATTACTTTGATTACAAAGGGGTATGCAAAAGAAAAGAAAAAAAAAAAAAAAATGCTGGGAGCTATTTGATCTAAATTATAAAGAATTTCACGTGCTATTAATAACTAGATTTTTTTTAAAGGAATTATACTGTGAGTTTCAAAAGGTGCACTGTAAAATTTCGTAGCTTTGCCGTAAGGAAAAACAAAATATAAATATTGTTTATAGAAGAGAAAGTTATAAAATAACATGTGTCAAATAAAATGTTGCTAGAAGCTTCCCTTCTCCTCCCCCCTTTTTTTTTTTTTGCAAACTTCTTAGAATAATAATAAATTACATCACTTAAAATTGATTGTTATGAAATGTTTTTTAATGATTTTGCGTGATAGGTTTTAAAACGGATCCTGTTTTTAATATTGCTTATAAATTTTCCTAAAACAATTTTAGTTTTTTATGTCAGACTGTTTTGATAAATGTTTCTAACAGCCAGGAATTTCTTGTACTCCCTGTAAAAAAATTCTTTTAGTTATTTTTGATATTCCATTTTAAAATGTGTTCTATTTATTGAAGTTTCTAATATTGAAAACACACAACCTGTAACTGTGTACAGTGGAACCTCAAGATACGAATTTAATTCGTTCCAGCATTAAGCTCGTATAGTGAATTTCTCGTATCTAGAAACAAACTTCCCCACTGAAAATATTGGAAATCCAGGTTAATCCATTCTGTGTCCCCAAAAATATCAACATAAAAATCAATTTTTCTAATAACACTGGTAAATAATATAACCGTAGTTTACCTTTATGATAGCTTCAGACTCCTACCTTTTAACTGCTTCTTGTTAATTCACACCAAGAACAGCTTCTCAACATCTCTAATAGTTTTGGACGGTGCTTGGAAGTAACTTTAACTCTTTTGGCTACACCAAGTTTCTTAATTTTTTTCTGCTTCTTCAGAATAGTGCAAATCGTCGATGTCAAAAGGCCGTAAGTGTTTACCAATTCTGTCACTCTTACACCACACTTGTTTATGATTTCTTTCTTAATTTGAACAGTCTTGGCTTCTTTATTTTTCTTTGCAGCACTATCTGAGGCAACAATCTTCTTGGGAGGTATCGTGAAATAATTATTTTCACATTAAATGTAATAAACAATTGACTCGCAAGTGCACACTTAGATCAAAGAACACTGAGTTATCTGACGAGGGGTTTCCCGAGTAGAACCAAATCGGGAAATGGCACCACGCGTACCAACAGCCTGGCTTATTGCTTGTTACTCAAGTCGGTGGTCGTATTTAGAGACAAATGTTTTGCTCATACTTTCCTTGTATCTCGAACATACTGGTGCTCGTGTCTCAAGGTTTCACTGTATTCCAATTAATTTGATGTGCTGAAATATTTTTAATTACTTGTGGATTAAAAATTTAAATTACTATTACAATTTTCAGTTAAAAAAATGGACAGTAACTGTTCTCAAGAAATTAAGAATTTCTTAAAGCAGTCTACAGATTATTTTGCTTCGGCAATTATATTGTATTTAGATGTTTAAAATAATTGAACTGTTCCTTGATTATGTCCCTCAGACAATAAATTATTTGAATTGAGAATAATTTATAATTTTATTTTCAGGAAGATCAATATAGGCCTGCTGCAATTAGAGCTCTGTGTACCATTACTGATGTAAGTTTTTAAATTTTTATTAAGCCATTAAGTACTCTAAAATTAGCGTTTGTATGAAAGAATTTGTATTGGTATTTTCACAAATTAAATGTTTAATAATCAGTAATTACACTGAAAATTTTAATTGTATATTATATCAAGTACAATTTAAAAAAATTGTTGCCTTTTGAAATTTGAAAACATATCTTCAGACTTTTATCAATTTTCATAATTTTTATGAAACTGTTGTAGTTTTATTTGGAAAATTCTTTTTTCACAAGTTTTGCAATTTTTTGTAAGACACATTTTGATATCTATCTGTCAGTTATATATCTTAAGTGCATACTTTTAGCAATTATTGAGATTACCATTTAAATTTTACTTGTTTTTGAACTGAAAACGAGTTCTATCCTTTTTGTAATTTATCAGTATTTTGGTGATTTTTAAAAATGATTCAGTTATGAAAATTTTATTGCAGAAATTTACTTATTTCTTGACACTTTTTTATTAATGAGCATAATGTTATATCATTAAAATGATGGCATTTAAAAATTTTTGTTTTAGAGAAATGAACATGAAAATAAAAATTCAGCACCTGCGCATTGATACCAGTGGTGTAGCGAGCATAATTGGTGACCGGGGCATGACGCCTTTTTTCCCCCTCCAAAAAAATATAATATACTCAGAATAAGAATCCGATACAAATAACGATAGAATGCAGTACCTACCTACAGGCTCATGTTATGCTTTAAATCTGAGATTAAAAATCAAGACTAGGATTTGGATTCGGAAATGTGTGTCTGTCAATGAAAAACTTGGACATATGGTCATCTAGAATTGGTTAAAAAGATATTATTCATTTTACATATTTATAATTGTTTAAAAGTATTCACTTTTTAAACTATGAAAAAAGTTAATATAAGTAGGTATATTTATTAATAACAATATTTAATTATTATACATTAATACAATTAATTGGTATGCATACTTTTTTCTTGTCTTTGAAGCAAATTTATCAGTTACTTTATCAAAGTCGATCGTTTCAATTTTTTCTTTTTGCACCCTTCATTTGCGCGATCTTGTTCCATTGTGGACTGTAGATATGTTAAAAATATTTTTAATTTCCTGTACGAACCTTCACAGCTAGCAACTGAAACTGAAATAGAAAGGTTATTTGAAGTGAGACTCTCAGGTTTGGAAAACCTTCTCCATGTGAGATTATAAAAGTTAGTAGCTGAAATGGAGTTTAGGTTCAATTTCTTTTCTACTTGCAGAGTAATATCTTGCAGTCGCATATTTCAACGTAGTTCTGTTCAATTAAAATCAGTATTATAAAATTCACCCAAATTTTTACAATTTTTTCAAGATCTTTATCGATATTAACCTTCTATAATAAATTTTCAATGTGAAGTAAAAATCCAAGTTTTAAATTAAGATCACTTAGTTGTGTAAATCATGTACTTATTTCCTGCTACAGAGGATTGAGAACACTTTCCATAATGTGAGAAATTTTACATTCTGCGAAAAGGCTCAACATTAGCCAATTTGCTCAGCATTTTTCAGCATCTTTGAACATAAATTGTTTATCAATATCCCATTTTTCGCAAAGAGACTTGACCTTTTTTATTGTTTCTTCTCAGATCTAGTCTCTAATTTTTGCAAGTTGAGATGCTAATGGTTCAAGATCATTTAACGCTTCTGTAAAATTCATCTTAGGATCTTGAAATCTGAGCTGCAGATGATCAGAATTAAAATGTCAGTGTGTTTTGCAATAAAATTTGTAGCTGTCACTTACAATACTGTCCTGTGCTAATTTTTCTAATAGTTCTATTACTTCTTCCAGCTCATTGACAATAATGCTAATTGCTTGTGTTCTGGCAGTCCTTTCATGTTTAACCATTTCCTTAAAAGTTTTTTTCATAATTCCTATCGAAATGTTGAACATGAGAAAAAAAAGTGTATAAGTTTTCAGTTATTCCAAAACATGTTACAAAGACTGAATCTTGCTTAACTGTACTAAACTACTGCAAAATTTAATGAGTGGTTATCACAATTTACAAATAATGCTTTATTATTTTTCTTATAATTCTTTCTTGAAAGCCAGGTATGTGACCTGACGTCACAGCAGCATTATCATAACATTGTGATCTGCAGTTTAATAAAATCTGATCGAAATTTAATCTTTCAAAAATTTTATTTTCAGTTGAGGTTGCATCTTTAGCATGTATTTCATAAATCACAAAGATTCTTTGACAGAAATTTTTCTGTTGGTCAATATCCACACAAGACTTGCAACACTTTGTTCTCAATGAGCGATTTCTAAGATGATTTATTTTCTAGTAGTGGATCAAACTGAGCGACCAATTTAAGTAAAGATAATAGGTTTCCGACATTTGTACTATTCTGAAGGGCTAGATTTTCGACATGACTACGTAGAGGAAAAATGTGTAGAATCGGATGCTTCATACAAGCTAATATTCATTGTAATATTTCTTTTCGGATTGTGCATTTTCTTCTAACAATTCATTAATTCTCAGTTTTTAATTAATCTTCTTTCTGTTTCTTTCCAAGTGTTAAACGATTTTCAATAATTTGGACTTTTTCCTGATTAATCAATTTATCATATTTCATCCAGTTATTAAAACAAGATGGTGTTATGAAAGATGATTGTGAGCAGAATATGGTGTAATAAACAGTAAAGCAACAAAAGCAGTATGCTGCATTATTTTTTGGTGCATATAATAACCAAGATCTGTTAATTTCAGTTTCTTCTTCATTATCGACTCGTCGATAGAACAAAGATTTTGGCATTAGACGATATTGCTACTGCATTTATACTGAATTCTGAAATATGCAAGATCCATAAATAATCATTTCAATTTGAAGCTGGTTCAGTATTATTGGAAGATTATTAGTGAATTTTAAATAAGCAACACTTTAAATTCCAGAACGTCCTGATTTTGCATTGAGTGTTTCTGTTGCATTTTCTGTACTTATTATTAGATATGAATATGGATTTGGAACTTCTGATGGGCTTAGGCCCCTATCTTCAGAGTTTTGTATATTATGTGATAACGCATCACAACAAAGTTTAGTAGCAGTAGGAGCGCAACCTGAATCAGATTCTTACTCTGATTTTACTTCTCCATCCTTCTTATCTTCTGGTTTTTCCTTTTGCAGTTTTTTTATTAAATAGGATTCCATTTTTATTCTACATTTCTGAGAATCTTTTTCTTGCTCTGGCTTTCTTATCCAATTCCGAGAATAGCTAAGTTTTTTGCCTGCCATTGACATGGTCTAAATAAAAAAATATATATTAAGATATTACTTTTGAACAACACAGCAACAGTAAATAAAATATTAAAAAAAAGGAAAACTTACTTTATTGCAAATTGCAAACAATATAGTACTTATAGTATAGTTGGAGTAACGCAGGAAGGTCAATTCCAAATGGTACACGACCATTTGTTTGCCAGAAGTTGTTGAAGAAATTCGAAAAAAGCAGAAGGGGTCTCGTTCTTCATGACAATGCGAGCTCTTGCATATCGGCTCAAACAAAAGAATATTTGACTGTCCAAAACATTGGCTAGATGGGTCATGCACAATACAGCTCTGTTTTGGCACCCAATGAAATTTTTTATTCCTACACATCAAAAATAAATTACATGGTCGGTAATTTGTGACACCCGAAGAAGCAGTTTGGTTGATGCATTCAAAATTCATGTTTTGGAGTTACCTCAATCAGAGTGAAAAAGTGGGAAAAGTGCTTCAAAACTTGGTTCAGATACATGTAAAAGTGTATTGAATCCTCATGGAAAATATTTTGAAAAAAAAAAAAAAAACTTTGATAATAAGCAGTTTTTTATTATTAGGCCAAAAACATGAACAGCAATTCTCATGTTTTAATGTCTTTGCCTTTCATATTTGGCAATTTGCAAATACTTTCTTTCTGAAATTTCAACTAGTTGATGAATGTTATGAAGCGCACTTTCTGAATTTTCTTTCAATAAAATCTAAAAAGTTATAGTAAATGTTGTCTAATTCTCCATTTCTAAACTTTGATATGTCATTTTTCTTTTTAAAATTTGCTTTGTAAAAGTTTTTTCACTTTATGTTTTAATGAATTTTACTATCATGAAATTGATAAATATAAATATAGGCATAAGAATTATATTAGATAGATTTTTGTTATAAATGTAAATATTGTACAGAATTATATTCAAATAACTTCTATAGATTTAAAAAATGCCTGTTTTTATTTCTGTCCAAAACATGCACACACAAAGAATAATTTCCATTTTTCTGTCCCTTTCTGATCTTCACTTTCTGGTTTTCAACATTTCATAAAACTGGAGTCAATTTGGCATAATTTCAAGTATACTTGTGACAATATCCATTCTACGCGAATATCCACATGTATGTATCCACCACGTGTCAGGGTTATTCCATGTGTAATAAATATCTTAATTTTGATGTATGTACAGTTTTGAATACACAAGAATTTATATGCTTAAAATGTTAATGACTATGCTGATTTTATTAAATTTCTTGTACTGACAAGATAAAATAAAGCAAGCAAAATAATATAAAAATAATAAAAAACAATAAAATCCTTCCTTTTTTGTTATTATTATTAGCCTGACCACTATAATATACAGATGGAGGACAAAATAATGCAAACACCTGTGAAAAAGTATGAGGTATTTCACACCTGCAGTACAGCCGCACCACCTGCAACAGAAGTCTGAAACCTAGTGAGCATGAAGAGGAAGGTATCAGTCTCTCAACAGCAGTCACCTGTGTTCCATGCTTCGGTCGAACTAGCTGTTGAAATGTCACACTTGTCAGAGTTCCAAAGAGGAATAATAGTTGGAGCGCGTTTAAGTGGAGCATCGGTTACGGAAACAGCAAACCTTGTGGGGGTGTGCAAGGAGTATGGTATCAGCCATTATGACAACGTACACGAAAGAGTGTAAGATGACGTTTTCAAAGCACAACAGTGGCCAAAAATCAAAGCTGGTTGATAGGGAAAGACGGGTCTTGAAGCGCATAGAAGCCCGAAAGCACAAGCAGTCGTTATACAAGATAACATCCAAAATGAACAGTCATCTCCAGGACCCCGTTTCAACAAAAACTGTCAAAAGGGAACTTCATGCTGCAAACATTTATGGCAGGGTGGCAATTCGTAAACCTTTGGTGACTGCAACTAATGCTTTCAGGCGACACCAATGTTGCAGAGATCACAAAGGCTGTCACCCACAGCAGTGACAACAGGTAATATGGTCAGATGAATCGTCATTCACCCTATTTCAGATGACCGGACGCATTTATGTCTGGAGAACGCCCAAAGAAGCGTTTCATCCTGACTGCCTTTTGCCGACTGCGAAGAATGGGGGTGGCACCGTTATGGTATGGGGTGCGATATCTTGGCACGGTCTTGGGCCACTTGTTATTCTGCATGGGAGGATCACATCCAATCAAAGCATTTTATGGGATCATGTCCATAATTTTGTCCAGACTGTATTCCCTGAAAAGCGATCGCTTTTTCAAGACGACAACACCTCTATCCACACTGCTAGGTGTATTCAAGAATGATTCGAAGAGCATGACGATGCAATTGAACATCTCGCTTGGCCCCCCTCAGTCTCCGGACTTGGATATTATTGAACATTTATGGATTTATTTATTCGGAGTCCAAACTTCGTTCCCAATTTCCACATCCTTTCACAGATCAATGGGATATGATGAGTCGGATCTCATGTAAGTGCATGACACGTGCGACGCCTGATCCATCCGGACTTTCGGAATTATAGACTGCTCTGCAGGAGAAATGGCTTAATATTCCATTAAATATTGTCCATGACCTTTGTGCATCTATCTCACATCGCATTCAATCTGTACTTCAGTCTAACCCCCTATTAATAAAGAGTTTCCATTATTTCACAGGTGTTCATATTATTTTGTCCTCCATCTGTATGTTCATCCATTAGCGAGTTATCCATTATTATTCCATTGTTGTCCATTAGTATGTTTATCCATTGTCAGTGAATAACTAGTCACTTATGTGGCTAGCTGCCTATAACAGTTAGAAAAATGTATGATTTTAATTAATCCAGCTAATGTAAATTCCTGGGTTCAGCTAAAAACTAATAACTGAAATGAATCTGCATTTAATGCTTTTAAATTGTGTAATTTGTTCATTAATGACAAGAAAATTAACTTTCTTACACTTCAGCAAATAGCAACAAACTAGCATGTAAAAAGATAAAAATATTTAATATTGACCATTGGCAATACATTTCTTTTAAATCTGAGTTTTTATATTCCATTTGAATGACGAATTACTTACATTTTGTCAAGTAGCAACATATTTATTTTACATCATTGAACTTTCTGGTTATTCAAACATAAATATCTTATGCTTCGATGAGTAGCAGCATGAAGCTTTTAAATCGCCATATTTTTTTTTATCAAAATTCGTTAAACTCGTACAGAATGCAAAGCAAATTTTAAAACAAATTCAAAATTCAAAGTAGACTTTCGAGCTGCATATGTTCAGGTAGAGGACAGTGTGTATTCAAAATTTGGTAGGTCTAGGTGCTGCCTAGACCTACCAAATTCACATACAGATTTATGAAAAGTACAGTATTAATGAGCCATAAAGATAGCCAAACGAACATTTTTGCCATCTAAAAAAATTGCTGATTAGCAATATTTTATGGCTGTGTAATTAGTCAAAGTAGTAATTTTTCTACTGATATAAAATTTCCGCTGCTATACAGCTGGACCTCATGTTGTGTTTCTCATTTATCTAATGTATCTGTTTGAACTTTTAGAAAGCATAATTTCCATTTGTAATTATGAACATGCCATTATGAATTTAATGTTGTTTCATCTATAAAATTCACTAGGTTTTTCTTTTCTTTTCTTTTTTTTTTTTTTTTTTTTTTGTTTATGTGTATATTTATTGTTTTACAATTTCTTTGTGTCAGGGTGGTATGCTGCAAGCTATAGAGAGGTATATGAAGCAGGCAATCGTTGATAAAAATAGTTCTGTATCAAGTGCTGCTTTGGTGTCATCATTAGTAAGACCTTTGGCTATGTATATAAATCTGTGCAATTTTCTTTTCTTTCTTCCTTCTTTTTTATTCCCCCCCCCATGTTGGAATATAACTAAAATATTACAATTACAGCATCTGATGCAGTCAAGTCCAGATGTAGTGAAAAGATGGGTGAATGAAGCTCAGGAAGCTGTGAATTCTGATAATGTTATGGTTCAGGTAATTAATATAGCTATTAATTTTGGTTTTAACTCAATTTTCATGTTTTACATATCGGTACAAAAACTTCTGCTTTTACATATTTATGGACCAGCATTTATAGACGTGCTTTTTTTTGTTCATTGCTAAATGAATAATTTGCTGAATGATAAATGCATGTTAAGCAGCTTTATTTATGGAACTGTTAGTAATAGTGTTGCATGTCATTTAATTAATTACATAGTTCTATCATCATGAGTAATTAAATTCAATATTTCAGTATTTTCATCATTTTAGTCATTAAATCTGAACTTTAAATTTAGCACTAAACTGTTCAGTTAAGGGGAGGTTTGAAAGGTAGCTGTAAAGGTAAAATAATGGTTCTCTTTATAAATAAAATGGCCAATGTGTATATATTTGATGTGGAGCTAGAAAGTATTTTTAGAAATTTTCATATAATTCTGGGACATAGGCAAGTGTTAAAAACTTGGCAAATACTTTTAATTTATCAGAATATACTTTTCATGATAAAAATTTTTCTTTTCAAGAATGTTTTTAATCAGAATTATACAGGATGCAGCAGAAGGAACTTCCTGATTTATGAAGCCAATAAAATCCAAACCAAGTAAAATATAAATGTTCTCTGTATTCCTTCAAAGTACACGTAATGCCATTTTACATGAACGTGGTTTTTGTTTTATATAAAACATCACTCAAGTGATGCCTTCTGTTGTTTATGTATCTCAGTAGTTTTCCAAGACTTTGAGTTATTTTAAGCAGAATGGCAGCAACTTCCTGCCTCCTTCAGTCATATCCTTCAGAGCTTTAAAGTTAGACACCCAACAATGAATGCCTAATGCTTTTTTTATCAGGAATTGGGTCCTGTTGACTGAGCATGAAGTGGATGTAAATGGCAAGCTGCATTGTGAATAAACTGCAATGCAATGAACATGTGATATTCTCTTGACTAAGTTATGATCTATTCTAAAGCAGCATGCAACTCTCTATTCAATAGTACGTTCTCCATCACTGTAATCTTTCCTAAACCATAGCTATGCTACTCAGAAATTGAGGTCTTTCTGCTGCAGCCTGTAAATATACTTTACACATTTGCTGTTGGCCATGCTTTGGTGCATGGTGCAGTAGTATCCAGTCAGCTGCAGTACATAGTGAGATATACAGGGGTTGGACAAAAATATGGAAACACCTTTAAAAAAATATGTTTCTTTGCTTAATATGGTGTAGGAAACCTGTTGGCATCCAAAACAGCTTGCAGTCTTCTTGAAATGGATAAATACAGTTCCTGTATGTTTGCCAAGGGAATATTATACCATTCTTCCTGCAAAGCGGTGGCAAGTTCAAGTAACGATGTTGGCGGTGGATAACGAGAACGCACTTTCCGTTCCAACGTAGACCACAAAGGTTCAATAATATTCAGGTCTGGTGACTGTGGTGGCCAGGGAAGATAGGACAACTCATCCTCGTGCTCAGAAAACCAGTCCTGGACAATGTGAGCTGTGTGAACAGGGGCTTTGTCGTATTGGAAGACACCATCACCATCGGGGAACAAAGTTCGTACCATGGGATGAACTTGATCGGCCAAAATGTTCACATAAGTCTTGGCAGTCATGTGCCCTGACACAGTTATCATGGGGCTAGCAGAGAACCACGATATGGCTGCCCAAACCATAACAGAACCCCCGCCATGTTTCACTCTTGGCAACAAGTAGTCTGTATTATAGGCTTGAGATGGCGTTCTCCAAACGTAAACTCGGCCAAAAGTGGGAAACAATGAGAAAGAAGACTCGTCAGACCATATTACTCGCTTCCACTGCTCTATAGTCCAGGCTTTATGACTTAAACACCACCTTTTCCTGTTACGGGCATTAGCATCACTGATGAGTGGCTTCTCAATTGCAGCACGGCCAGCAATTCCCTGTTTATGAAGCTCCCTTCTAATTGTTTTGGTACTCGCAGGGTTCGGTAACACAACATTCATTTCAGTAACTTTTGCAGATGTGGTCTTCTTATTTTTTGTCACAATTGCCCTTAATGATCGTCTGTCATAATCACTCAGGACACACTTTCGTCCGCGCTGTGATTTAGCAGATGATGTTTTTCCGCTTTTCAAATATGCAGAATAAATCTTCGATACAGTACCTCTTGAAACGCTAAACACCTCGGCTACCTTGCTTACGGAAGCACCTACCATACGTGCTCCAACAATTTGCCCACGTTCGAAGTCTGTTAACTCTGACATGATGCAATGACAACCTCACATAACAGTACTCCGACAACAACTGAACTGTTTAGCACATTTACGAAGTTGTTATAGGTGGCGTCAAAAATGCCAGCGCCACCTACATATTTCATTAAAATCAATCTTTCTTTTGAAACATGCATTTCACGAGGTGTTTCCATATTTTTGTCCATCCACTATATGTTAAGACTGTTTTCAGTCTAGTTGGTTGTGTATTAATTTGTTATACAGTACAAAGTTCGAAATCCGGACTCGTCGGGACTTCGGCTATTCCAGATTTGGGATTTTTCCGGATATTAGGTCATCAGTTTAAATCTAGTAAGATGGCATGTAGAAATTAAGAAATTAAAAATATGAAATTATGATTTATGAAAAAATTAAATACCGTATTTACGCGAATCTAATGCACATCGTTTTTGGCCAAATGTAGTATTCAAAATTAGGGTGCGCATTAGATTCGAGTGCAAAGTTCGCCGATGACGTCAACCAAATTTCTCGACTACATTTACCGTTATATTTATTGTTGACACATTATTGCATAGAGGATACAAACTGCATGGTATGTAGTCATGAAATGGAGGGCAAACAGAGAAGAATGTCATATGACGCTACTTTCAAACGTAAAGTAATTCTTTATGCTGAAAAAAAATGGCAATAGAAAGGCAGGGAGAGAGTTCAACGTAGCTGAGAGCAATGTTCGCTTGTGGCGGCAACAGAAATTGGCACTGTTTGCAACTAAAGCTAGTAGAAAGAAATTCACTGGCCCTCGCAAAGGAAGACACCCTAAAATTGAAGAAAAAGTTTTGGAATTTGTACGTGAAAGGAGGAAGAATGGACAACCTGTGACTAGTGACACCATAAGAAATAAAGCAAAAGAGGAGGCTGAAGTTCTTGGAATACCGAAACAAGAGTTTAAGGCTAGCCGTGGATGGGTGGATCGGTTTATGAAGCGGATGGGTTTATCTCTAAGACGCCGTACAACAATATGCCAAAAGCTTCCTGCAGATTTTGAGGGAAAACTACTAACATTTCAGCGGTATGTCATCACACTTCGGAAGGAAAAGAATTTTTCAATGGGGCAAATTGGCAACGCTGACGAGACGGCAATTTGGTTTGATATGCCTCGTAACTACACCATTACGGAGAAGGGGACTAAGGAAGTTATCATCAAAACTTCGGGATGTGAAAAACAACGCGTAACAGTGATGATGCTGGCAATAACAGCAGACGGGTGCAAACTTCCCCCTTTCTTAATCTTCAAACGGAAAACATGCCCTAAAACCCCTAAGAATGAAAAGCTGTTCCCAGATGATGTCCTGATTCGAAACCAAGAGAAGGGGTGGATGACGGAATCATTAATGCTTGATTGGCTCCGAAATGTATGGAAACGCCGTCCCGGTGGGCTCTCTAATCCACCATCAATGCTTTGTCTGGACGCATTTCGTGGTCATCTCACCGACGACGTAAAAAAGAAGATGCACAGCCTAGGCAGTGATCTTGTTATCATTCCTGGAGGGATGACGTCTGTGTTACAACCCCTGGACGTTAGTATAAATAAACCTTTTAAGGGGTACGTTCAGGCGGAGTACGAAAAATGGTTTTGTGAGCCAAACCGTGTATTGACCCCGACAGGAAAAATTAAGCGTGCTGCACCGCACATTGTTGCACACTGGGTTTCTGCTGCCTGGAAAAGCATCGAAGCACCAATGATTGTGAAATCTTTCAAGAAATGCTGCATTTCAAATTCATTGAATGGCAGTGACGATGACGTGCTCTGGAACGCCGAGGATGACGATGACGATGATGAGGAAGAAGAAATGAATCTGCTTCTGACGAAGAGAGCTGCGAGGATTCCAGTGATGAAAACATTAGTGAATAAAGACGTTTACTATTAATCACTGATTGTAGAAACTGTTAGCTAGATAGAAATGTTACGATTTATTTCATGTTCATATTTTACGATAGGTACCGTATATACGGTAGTGCTAATTAACAATGATTGTTTCACATGACAATAGCCCACTAATAGGTTAATTCTATGTTCTGCTACTTTATGTATAAATCCATTGTTGTATAAAAAATATGGTATCTAAATTTAAATAAAATTATCATACCATTAATTGATAGTTTATATACAAATCCATTGTTGTATAAAATAAGATTCAATAAATTCCTCATATCATTGATGCGCATTACATTCGCCGACAAACAATTTTTTTATTATTTAAAGTTTTAAAATGGGGATGCGCATTAGATTCGCATAAATACGGTATAGATCTAACGTTCAAATTTACAAAAAGCTTAATATTATTTGTTAGCTATGAACGTTTTTCATGAAGTGTTTAGTGCTTCTTTTTTGCCATACTTAATTTGCATAATCTTGTCAGTTACATTGAAGTCTAAAAACATGTTAAGCGGCTTATTTGGACTTTATAATAGGTTGCATGTCATTTAATTAATTACATAGTTCTATCATCATGAGTAATTAAATTCAATATTTCAGTATTTTCATCATTTTAGTCATTAAATCTGAACTTTAAATTTAGCACTAAACTGTTCAGTTAAGGGGAGGTTTGAATGTTTTTGTATCGAGAATTCCGACTAACTAAACAATAGAAATTTTTTTGTTTTCAGTAACTTCTCTGTCACTTTCTTCATTATCGGTAGCGGTATTTTCTGGATCTAGATTTTGTCATTCATTAATTGATTGATGATTGAGAAGCATTTGTCATCACAATGAAAAATTTCTTTCATATCATCTTTATTTATTACTGCTTCTCCACATTTCTTTACAAAATTCGTTAATTGGAAAATTTCACCTTTGTTTTGCGATATCCGAAAACCATTAAAATTAGTGGATGTCATCATCAAATTTAGCTATCCTTCACTATACATATTTGGCTATGCATCAGGAGCTTGGTGACTAACGACAAGTTGTTCCATTACATTTTATCTTGCTTCTATTGCGCACTGAGACAATTAATCCTGAATTGTATTAGTTTAGTTATTTTCCATTACATTTTATCTTGCTTCTATTGCGCACTGAGACAATTAAGCCTGAATTGTATTAGTTTAGTTATTTATTATATGTATGTCTTTTCTTGCTCATGCTTAAGGCTTATCAGAGTTCTGAGTAAATAAATTCCCACATATACTTAAGCCTTATTGAGGTCCGGCGCTAGATATCTTACCGCCTGAAGCAGTCTCTGTGGGTCCTAAGTTCTGTGACTCTGTGCAGCCATACTAGCCCTGACGCTGGTTCTGGGTTTATGTGAATAACAAATCAGTTATTCTTAATTCAAATAGCCCTAAATGTAATCTTTAGGTGTATGAGTATCATCAACAAAATCTATTTTTAGCATATGGGAAAGAAATTTTTGGTAAATTTTCCGTCAACATTTTTAGCGCATTTAACTTAAATCTATAATTATCGCCAAGCGTAATGTCGACATAAAAGGTTACCATACTCCTTTATTTATTCATTTACTAACATAAAAAAAATGTTTAGGCATTGCTGCACGAGTCCTTCGGGCCTCGAGTTACATAATAGCTGCATGTGTAATGAATGTATCAATATTTTAAAATAATTTTTTTATATCCATTTGTTCTGTTTGTTCCCCCTCTTTATATATATGCCATAAATAATGCAGCACAAAGAATGCTATTTGAAAATACAGTTTTATTGTAATTTATCAAACTTCTTTTTTTAAGCATATTTGTGGAAAGTACCCTTCCTAATTATGATTTTAATTGAATTTTTCAATGAAAGATATAAAATAATTTATAAATTTGACTGCATTATCTGTAAAACACTCAAGGAAAAGAGTATAATTTAATTATATTTCTTTTATACAGTATCACGCCATGGGATTACTTTATCAAATCAGAAAAAATGATAAACTAGCTATCTCCAAACTTCTCACAAAATATACTAGGAAATCCTTGAAATCTCCATATGCAGTATGTCTGTTGGTAAGTAAACTCATTCAGAATTGTAAACTGAATTAAACATGTTTCAAAGTGTCAGTTTTCAAAGTTCCTTTTTTTTTTTTTTTTTTTTCCTTCTTCTTAAAGATTCGAATAGCGTGTAAACTAATTGAAGATGATGAAGCTGGGTGAGTTTTCTTAATTTTAGTTATATAAGCTATTCATTGTTATTGAAATATTGCAGAATTTTCAAGATTATAATTCTTCCTTTCCTCAATTTTCTGCAGACCAGAAAGTCCTCACTTTGATTTCATAGAGAGCTGCTTGCGACATAAAAGTGAAATGGTTATATATGAGGCAGCTCATGCTATAGTCAACATGAAATCTACTACTCCCAGGGAACTGGCTCCTGCTGTGTCTGTCTTGCAATTATTTTGTGCATCACCTAAGCCTACATTAAGGTTTGCCGCTGTCAAGACATTAAACAAGGTGTGTAATAGTAATTTTGAAGGATTTGTATTTAAATTTTAGTAATTTTTTTATTATATTTATTCTGCATTCGATTGTGTAGTAGAATATTAAGGTTTTAGAGAAAGGTGTACTCAATTAAACAACAAAATGTAAGCTAAACCTAATTTTTAAAAAAATATTTGAGTATTTGATTGTTTAATTTTTACAATAATGACATCTTTGCATTGATATAGATTTAGGTTAAAATAACATGCTGAACAAATATTAATTTAGAAGTCAGACAACAAAAATCAGCACAATGTTTGCAAATTTTCACAGAACTTGTTTCGATTGTTTTACCAAACCATCCTCAGCTACCAAAGTGCAAATGAATGAGAAGATCTCATTCATTTGCACTTTAACAGCCGAAAATTTGAAAATATAATGCTGATTTTTGTTGTTCGACTTCTCTTCATACCCACTCAAACCTGTAAGAAGTGAACTCGAACCGTTGTTTATCTGGAGCTTTAAGAATAAAAGTAGTAAATTTTTAAGTGGTTATGAAAAGTCATCTGGTAAAATTTTACAGAACAAAAAAAAACATCTTTTTTTGGGGGGGAGAGGGTCATTCTTCTCCCCATGTATACTGCAGTTTGTTTTTAGCTTCAGAAATTATGAAAAAATTGCAGAAACTTAGCATTGTGCAAATTTAGCACTGTGCATGGTGTCATTCTCACCGTTCACACAATAGTTTCACTTAAACATCAAAATTACTTGAATTTGATATCCTGCACAAATTTTGATCCATAAAATTTAATTGTTTAGCCGCTTCCCTTACAAATTTTTTTGAAAAAAATTGCATAAATCATCACATTTTTTTATTTTATTATCAAATACAAGGAAATGAAACAAAACAAAATATATAGGTTTTAAGTTGAATTTTTAATTTTTTACAGGTGTAAAAGCATTTAATTTTAATATTAGTTTACTATCCAGAGTTGCCTCGGGCAAATAAAAAAAATTGTATGATAGTTTTTGAAACAAGAGACAACACAAAGTGATACCTGACATTCTATACACTGGTATTTGGTCTCTTTTCTTACTGGCTTACCTCTGGAATACAGGAGGACAGAGAACACTGTCTCATTGGATTTGTTTTTTGGTAGTAGGAATAACATCTGGAAAATGCGTTGAGATTATAATCACTAACTGAAAAATTATCGCGTTTGCTATCTTGCATCATCACCATTATTTTACTTTTTTCAACTATCATTCTTTATATATTACTAATTCACAACCGACGTATACTAGACAATAAGCATGTGACCAATCCGTCCAAAAGAACCGCGAAACCAACAAAACTTGGCAAACTGCCAATAAACTGCAGTATTTATCTAAGTTGAGCATTTGCAAGAGATAATACCAGATTTCTTAAATGCTGAATTTTCTTTAATCAAGCCTGATTTTAAAATCAACACTGATTTTTCAAGTTATTAAATTTATGCAACTTGTATCATGTTTGCTTATGTTAATATTTTGGTTTGTTACAAAGTTATTGATTGCAAAATAGAAACATTTATTTTAAAAAGAAATATCTGTTCCATATTGATCCTTTTTCTCCTCTCACTGCTGCAATTTTTTGGTAGTTCTGTTATCAGGACTTTATTCAGAAATTGTGTGTATGTATACATGTGTGTGTGTGTATAGGCACACTATGTACATATATTTCTGAATCTGGTCCCAGTAACAGAAAAGTACCCAATTCTTTAAGGAGTGATAGTCTAATCACCTACAAAATGCATGGTTTTATTAAAAATACACCCAAACTTGGGTTAATTTTTTGTATAATTTTATATTTATACTATCTGTAGCATTAAAGACAAAAAATTGTACTTCTCCATAAACTTCCTTGCTTGTGCCTTCAAAACAGTCTGTGATTGGAGATATATGCGAAAACATTTTCTTTAAACATTATTGCATGTTTTTGTCTTAAGAATTCGCACTGTTGGCCAAATAGACATGTCAGGTAAATGTACTGTCACTTTAGTGTCACAGGCCAGAACGATATGTGCAAGATATTTTCAGTAAAAAGATGTATGTGCACCATTTCCCCTTGGCTGTTGTAAAATGAAATGTTTTCTGTTATGAATATTACTTTTCAAAAGTAAATATTGTCAAAATAATATATCGGAAAAGTATAAATTGTGTACAAATGGTTTTATATGAAGGTATATTTGTATAAAGATTAAGAGATTGACAGAAAGTGTGCGAGTAGAAATACTGGTCTCATTACTTGTAAACAGGATTGTTAAATAATTTTCTTAATTGTAAGAAAATTTTTGAGAATTGATGGATTTAACTTTTTTTGCAAGAAAATAAGCTACTGCATTCATGCAAACATATTGGTTCGTTGTACCTCACTAATTGTGTTCATTTCTTACACAGTGCTTTTCCCTTCTCGTGTTAAAACACCTTGCTGTTATTCTGTGATTTAGTTATAAAATGTTTAAATTGTATATTTTTATTTAAAAAGATATAAATGAAATATTATTTGATAGAGGCAAAACTGGTATGATGATGGAATTTAAAGTAATCATTAATTACTGATGGATGCTATACAATTGAGTCAACCTCTTTTAGAGTAACTCTCTATATAAGAACTGTTACAGATGAAGAGATTATGATTTACAAAGTACAGATGCAAACTCTGAATATTACTGCAATTGAGAGTAGGCTATATGATAGAGAAAATTTCTGGAAAAAGGAAGGCATTGTGCGTACATTACAGCCAGTTGGACAGTTATTCATATAAAAATCAGTTTCTCATGTGCAAAATGTTTCATATACCTTTTGCAAAGGTGATTTTGTAGAAACGATTACACTAATATTTCATTTTAGCAACAAATCCAAATTATGTTTGCATATTTAACCTTCCAGCATGCGCATATGCACAAAATTTATGACAAATTCAGTTTTTAATGCACATTTTTCACATATGAAAGCTGAGACGTCTGAAGGTCATTTCTATTCCTTCTTTCTACCCTTCCCCACATCATGGAATGTGCCAACAGGAAGTCATTTGACTTTTTTTTAACTGGGCTTTTGTGCTACGTGGCAGCTTTTTTATAAAATTTATGAGACGCATGTGGTCGTGTTTCAAAATTTGGAAAATATTTTTTTCTCAAATATTTTGTAATTTTGTGTTATTAATTGCCGTGTATTATTTTAATTCAAGTACATTTGGCTCTGTAAATTTTATATCGTTTTTCATGGTAAAAATATTTTTTCAACCAGCTGATTTTGCTCGGATTCTTCAAGAATTATCTGATGAAGAAAAGGAAGACGAGGAAACTTTTGGACTGGAGAACAATAGCGATTTCCATTCCTTATTTTCTTTTATTTCTATTTTTTAGAAATAAGTAAAAACATTAAAGTTAGTTTAAAGTGCATTTTTGTAACAAGTAAGAAGTAAATTTCCTTGCAAAAGTAAGTAATGCTAAACTTCCTTTTTTTCCTACCAAGGTGTTTTCCTTTTTTATTGTCCATACTTGTCTTTGGTGAATATTAAAATTAGTTTCAATTTTAAAATATAATTATTAAATAATACTCACTAACATAAGAACTTAAAAATAATTTACTTATATTAGAATGTGATATCATTTGTATTTTGCATTAATAAGATTAATATTTTATTTCTTAACAAATTGATTATCAATATTCACTTTATATCAATATTTCTGTCGTTTTTCGCGCCAAAAACGGGGAAATAATGGATGTCGTAAAAAATACGATGCGTGCGTGCTCGTGTAAAATTGCCGAGCGCGTGTGCTGGAAGGTTAAATAGAAAGATTATATTTATTATTTGGACGTAGAATGAAGCACAAAATACACTCACTTCCAAAGTTAAGTACAAAGATGTAAAATGCAAAAAAATCAACAAATACTGCTTTAATTGACACAAAATTCGGCAGGAAAGTAGTATATATATTTATGCATAAAACAAAATCAATAATTATATACAGAAATGAAAAAATATTAAATTTTTGTAAGTTATCAGATAATGACATACTGGAGACTTAAACAGAATTATGCATAAAGCGAAAATAAACAGTGTAAAATGAAAAAAAAGGACATTAATAGGATTGTGATCCCCCCTCATCTGTATACAAAGTTTACACATTGTGACCGTGCTTTCAATTATGTGGTCAGCCACCGCAGAATTAAGCAATCGCCATTCTTCTTGTAGAAGCAGTTTCCAGTTCAATAAGAGTGGCTGGAGGTGGGAAAACGTGAAGATGTAGCACGGCCGAGAGCATGCCCAAAAATTTTCAATGGGATTAAGGTCAGGCAAATATGCTGGCCACGCCATACGCGCAATTCCTTCACTCTCCAGATAGTCAATCGACGATGTCAGCTCTATGGGCACGTGCTTTCTCATCCATTAAAACAAAAGTAGGGCCAACTGCTGCAGCGTACAATCTCACAATGGGTTCTAGGACTTCATCTCGATACCAAACAGCCGTCAAAGAACCTCGTATAAAGATGTGCAGGTCGGTGCGGTATCCTAATGAAATCGCTGCCCACGCCATAATGCTTCCGCCTCGGAATGTGTGATGTTGGTGATGTTTTGGGACTGATCACGTGTTCGTTATTCATACCATTACCATATCTTTATACGCCTGTCTTCTGGCTCCAGAGTAAATCTTGACTCATCAGTAAACATGGCATTGCCCCAGTCAGACACATTCCAGTTGACATGTTCCCGGCACCACTGTAATCGTGCCCCTCTTGATTGAATGAATAGAGGAACACAAACTCGAGGTACCCGGGCGTACAGTCCACCTTATATATAATCTTCAGGCGTACAGTAGCTGCGGACATCTCCTTACCAATGGACGCTGTAATCATAGATGTCACACGTGTGGAGGTCGCTTTGCGATTCCGCTTGGCTACACTAGCAATATTTCAATCTTCTGCGGGGGTTGTAACACTTGGGCGACCGCTATGGGTGTCTGTGTGGTTTGGAATTGTTTCTATAAAAGTGAAATTACAGAATGATTAACACCGAAGAAAAGAGCAGCATCTGTGATCGGCTGTCCTGCTTCAATGCACCCTTTGCACGGCAAAGTTCAGAATCTTCCATTCGTCTTCTGGAAGTCATAAAAACATGTATGTCTTGAAAACAAATTGTACAAAAGTTTTAAACACCTTCTATCAACACTTACAATCAACTTCTGTAACCCTTCATAAAGCTGACTTCTTATAAGACTGCCTTTGCATATTTCTTGACATGAAAGCATGATTGGCTGTTACCTAACATATTTGCATACTTCCGTCTACCTCTGCAGCGAATTGCATCCTCTTCAATTCTGATTGGCTTCCGGAAATTAGCATTTTCCTCTCCGTGCTTAACTTTTGGAAGTGAGTGTAAATTTCATACAGATTATTTTCAGTTATTTGCCATGTGGCATTAAAGTAAGTATATGAGAAGTGTATGAGTGGTATGAAATTGTAAGTTATTCTAATGAAGTGAATGTATCTTGTATTTGCTTACCTAAAAGCTAGTGCATATTCCTTTTTTCATACTTATAATTAATTATATTTAAAAATATGCAGGTAGCAATGACTCATCCAAATGCCGTAACAGCATGCAACATTGATCTAGAAAACCTTATAACAGATTCAAACCGTAATATTGCAACACTAGCTATTACTACATTACTGAAAACTGGCAGCGAAAGCAGTGTGGATAGACTAATGAAACAGATCACTTCATTTATGTCGGAAATTTCGGATGAATTTAAGGTTGTAGTCGTGCAGTCTATAAGGTGAGAAAAATCTGGTAATTGATAAGTTAAAGTGATGATATAGTTTTAATTTTTATTTAATGCTATAACTGTCTATAAAGTATTCTATTGTAATATTTCCATTGTAGTTTACAAATGATATAAATGTAATGAAATGCCAATCAGCATTCATTCTTTTATTATGTTATGCAATAATTTTATATTGTTGTAATTTTTGTGTTATATACAGCTAGCCATTATAATTGCTACACTATGAAGAAAATGCACAATATACTTGAAATGTATGTAGATGGTAAATCATGTCTGGATAATCGAATAATCCATATTACAGGCAACAGTTCTAACACCTCAAAGCAGTATAAAAAGCAGATTAAAATTCTAGTTTATCATTTGAAAATTGGATTTAATAGTTTTTATATTGCAAGTCGTATTATCCATCTAAAAAGGAACTCGTTCAATTGTAGGAGAATTTTAGCATGTCACTCTGTATGTTATTGTATCATAAAATTGCTGCTAACAGTTGAGATCCTGGGAATGTTGTAAGAATTTGCTTAATGGTTCCAAAAGGGCCATATAGAGTGAAAAAGGAATCTCTGTTCACCAGTGCCTGGGATAAAAAACATCTTGTACTCATTCCTCTTTAGAATCATAGAGCCATATCACATGCTGTAAGTGTGGAAATTAAATGTGTTATGCAGCATCAAATAACTGCATAAGTGGTGTGACAGCTTCTGCAGTTAAACAGGTTGTTAACTAGTTAAATGGTGTTCAACTGATGCAATGGATGCATTAATAGTGATTGGATGTCATTTTTTTTTCGGAATTTGACGATCTGACATTTATAACATTACTAGCAGCTTTGCTGCTAGCCTTCGTCTTGCTTTTAAATGTACCGGAAGAATGGCTGAAAGAAACACCAAACGTTAAATTTAAAAACTGCATAGAATTTTACTCATAAAAAATTTATTACATATAACAAAATTACAATGAAATAAGCAATATCCCTTAATACAAATAATAATTATCCTAATAAATAAATTAACCAACTTCCCATTGCAAAATCTTAAGAACTCAAATGGTATAAAGGAGGTTAAGAAGTTTGTTTCCTAAAAAAAAAAAAAAAAAATCACTCAAAACTTTTCAATAACTTAAAAACAGTGAAATGAGTAATAAATAACATAAAAGAATACAAAAAACAAAAAATTCTGAAAAGCAAAGTATAATTAATTATATTTATCTTATATTTTCAAGAGAAAAAAATTAACCAACTTTCCGTTGAAGAAAAAAATCATGCAATCCTTTTCACTATCTTACAAACAGTGAAATAAGCAAAAAATAACATGAAAGCAACTCAAAAAAACATAAAATTCCACGCAGAATTTTACTCTGCAGAACAACTTTATTAAAAAAAAAAACAATAAAAATGTATTGTATATACAGTCAAAAGTCGTTAATCCGGACTCGTTGGAACTTCGGCGATTCCGGATTATAGATCATCAGTTTAAATCTGGTAAGATGGCATGCAGAAGTTATAAAATTAAAAATATGAAACCGTAATTTATGAAATAAAGAACAGTTATGATCTAAAAAATATCAAAATTTACAAAAAAAAAAAAAAAAGCTTAATATTTATTTGTTTACTTTACTTTCTTCACTATCGGAAGCGAATTATAATGACGAGGAATTTGATTTAAATCATATCAAAGATGAGTACATCAAGATGAAATACTACATTTAGTAAGGAAGTATAAGCCAAATAAACTAAAAACATCTGTCCTGAAGATAAGGATAATGCTGACAGATCAACTTCCAATTCATTGTGTGCCGCGGCGTCCCCCCGCCGCAGAGCAGCGTGAAATTGATAAACAGATTTCGGAATGGTTAGATAAACAAAGGATATGCCTTTATCCATTTTTTGCAGCAATTCCACTTTTTGTTTAATGGACTTTGAAACATACTTTCGCTTTGTAGATCCTTTACATATTAGTAAATATATATCGGAAATTCTATTTGACATAATCGAAAGTTCAAACTTACTTTTATAAAATTGCTTTAACAGTCTGCAAAAAATAATAAGCCGGATCCAATCGAAGATTAAGGAACAACGCAATCTGCAAACATTAACTGAATTAGATAATTTTAACTTAGCTTATACCATCCATTATACATTAACGCGCATGGTTCAAAGAGACCAGAGAAAGTTTGTAGCTTTGAGGTCCGGATTAGGGGGTGTGTCCGTATTAACGACTTTTGACTGTATATATATATATATATATATATATATATAAATGCTAATGAAATATGCCAATCTCTTAAAAACAGTGATGTAAGAAATACGATGAAAAATTGTTGCCAAACCCATATTTCTAAAAGAATGAAACTATTCAGAATGATGCGATTTCATCAAAAATCTATCAAAAACAATAAGACAGGAAAATTGTTGCCAAAATCACATTTTTAAAGATGTGAGAAGTATATTTGGAAGCCTCAAAAAAAAAAAATTTTTTAAAATACAAAATATTATCATTTTTCCAAAATTCTTTTTGTAAAAGGAGTCACAAGGATAAAAGTTTAACGTGTTCAAAAATCAAAGAAAAATAAACTGTACATTTTTAAAAATAAACTTTTTAAGAAAAAATCCCATTGAAAAGGTGTTAAGCTCACTTTGTTAAATAAATTTGCATTGAATCGATTTATTGAAACACGAAATTTATTTTAAGTTTGTAAAATAACTAAGTGCCTAAGTTTCATGGCGATGTGAAAACAGAGTGTGTAGAGTAAAATCTCGCTTTCCTATAGCCCATTATGTCTCAAAATGACGCGATTTCGTAATAAAACATTAAAAAAAATTAGAATTCGAATTTCGAAAAAATCGCTTCGAGGTGCACTGGCTCTTGTCTAGATGCATCTAGGTACCAAATTTTGTAGTCGTGGGTCTATTAGCTTACGCGCAGCACAAACGAAACACGCACATACACATAGACAGACTCTTTCTTTTACTATATGTAGAGATATAATGTGTGTGTGTGTGTGTGTGTCCATGTGTAGAGCCGCCAAACAGAAAGAACATGTTGGAACTTTACTCTTATCTTATAGGTCTATCACATGTATTGATGGTGTGGGGGTGCCTTTTAAGTATACATCCCATTCACTTATAGTCTGCATATTTGATATTTTGCCTTCTATTATATTAAGATTTTCTGCTCATGGCTATACCATATCTTCGAGGCATTCACATCCCACTTTTCAACATGTCTGTGCAAGATCATGCATTGCCATGCCATCCTACTTTTCCTCAATATACTTATGGTTCATTTCTTATCATGACTGCATGTTCTGTAGATATCTCTCCAACTGAAGATGTCTGGTCAATGGTTGCAGAGAGACTTATTTGACGTTACCTGCAGTCTGTGCAGATAAAACTCTTGACACAGAATTCATGTGGACTGCAACACCTGCAACTGCCATCAAGAGTTTGTTCAGCAGTGAGTCCAGACATGTAATAACTTGCTAATTTTGTCGGAGGTAGATGTTCAGGATACTGATTTCTGCATATTCTGTACCTCAAAATTATCTTAATCCTTGCATCCTTCCATAATAATGTATTTGTAAAAGTAATGTATGGTTCTCTTAGTTTCCTTCATAGTGTAGCAATTTTGATGTTCAGTGGTGTATATTAAATGACAAAATATGAGCTTATTAAATTATAGAGTGATCATCACAACCATATTATTAAATAAATTTGAAACCATACAGCATGAAAAAGGTTAGTGTTTTTATCCAAAGTTATAAACTAAGTAACTTTATTAGCTATCATACAAGTTAATTTTGAACTTATTAAAGTTTTTATGTATATACAAATTCTAATTATTTTCATATGAGGAAATATTATAAATATGGAACTTAAGAAAACCATAAATTTATTTATGCAACTTCAAGGCCTATTAAGTGATATTTATATTTGTGTATTTATATATATTTAGCCTTGCCTATATCATTAGTATGAGTAACATCGGTGTTTTCATGATTTTCTCAGTGTGCAGTGTGTATATGTGCCAGTATCCCTGAGAAAGTCCTGCAGGAGAGCATCCTTTCCTTAGCCAGACGGTCCTATTGTGTTTTGTCATAATAAACTAAACCAAACCAAAATCAGAGAAAGAAGCTGAGGTTTGAAGGTTCTCATTAGTCAGGCAAGATAATTTTGTAGTTGAGTGTGCGAATGGAGGTTTAGGTCTCCTGACTTCATTTGGCTACCCCTCCAGTTCATTTCCTTTAAGAACGAGCCTTCAAGCTGTTACCATAGAAATAAGTATAAAGTTTCTGGTTTCAATTTGTTGTGTCTTTCTCTCCAAATGCATCGATTAATAAAACTTAGATGACTTAACAGAGCAGCTGCCTGAACCTTGCCTGAAGTAACTTTAATCCCTTTAGCCCGCTCTGGACTTGTTCCTTTGACTGATATTAAAAGAGCTATCAAGGGTTAAGTCGTGAACCATTGGCAATTACTGAATTACTGTGGTGGGGCATAGTTATATAATAAACTGAAGTGTAATACCCAGGGTGGAATATTTGGGAGACAAAGAAAATTCTCAAAGAAATCCTATTTACTCACCAAAGAACTAGTCATCCTCGAATAACACATAGTTACTTGTTAAGCACCGAGAGTGAACTTGTGTATCGTTTTCTAATACTGTGCTGTCGGTTTGACTCATTTTGGTAAAATGTCCCTATTTCAGTATTTAATAGTTGGAAAAGATGTAGATTTGTATTTGAATATTTAAGGGAGATGGGTTTTTATTCCATAAGCTGATATCATTTTAAATATTTATATTCAGATTTTGTGTAGTTTTATCTTTTCATTTTATGAATTTTATTTACCATCTTGTTGTAGCAGAAAATAGTCTCCATCATTTTTAGTTTTATGTTCTATTTCATGTTTTTATCATGGTGTTAATAAATTTTCATCTTCATATCATTTTAGCTGTCTGTCTGCTGAACTTAAGGGGAGGTACACACAGTTAAAACAAAAGCAGAATTTAATACCATATGTCTGGTGCATATAACCATTTAGGTTTTGTGCCAAGAAAATCTATTACTACTGCTACTTTTTGATCATAAAAAATCTATTGTCTCATGGTTGTGATTCAGCTGCTTTTCCTCACAAGGATTTCCACTGCAGCAGTTATTCTTCTGTGATCTCTTGTTTTTAATTTAATTATGGCATACTCATTATGCTCACTTGTCCTTGATGAAATGAACTGTGTGTTCATTTCGAACTTTCGTTTGTGATGGTATACTTAATTTGTTCAAATACATTAACATACCATACTAACAGTATGCAAAAGGCATTCTGACTGTGTATATTGATACCATATTGCTTTACATAAATACCCATCTGCAGACATAAGCAAAAGTTCTGTCCCTTCAGCCAGCATTTCTACCAAAATCTCGCTTTTATCTGGAAGGCTCTTGTCTAATTTAACTTCAGGTCCATGTCAAACTGTTTTAAGTTATCAGTCATCACTATCGCTTACTTAAATGTAAACTGTTAACTGTTAGTTAAAAAAACTGTATTTATTTTTAATATTTGAAAATTAATTATTGCATAGATTTTTATTGTTGTGAATAGAGGTGGAGAGTTATGTTGCATTTGAAACACTTTAAAGTATTATATTATTCTGTAAAACACTAACATAAATATGATGCATGTGTTTTTTGTACAATAATCACATTTGTTTTCTACTTTCCTGTTTCAGATCATTGTGTCAGAAGTTTCCTCGGAAACATAATGTAATGATGAACTTCCTGTCTGGTATATTACGAGATGAAGGAGGCTTTGAATACAAGAAGGCAATTGTTGATACAATCATAAATGTAATTGAAGATAGTCCAGAAGGGAAAGAAGCCGGTGAGCTTGTGATATTTTCTCTTAAGTATGTATAGTATGAATACTGGTAAGGGGAAATGGTCGATAATTGTTACATTCTATTAAGTCATCAATTTCTTTGCTTTTGAATATTTTCTGTGTAGGTTTTTGCTTTAGGTTAAAATTTCATTTTATGTGATAAAGGTGAAATGTCTTGAATTTATCTTTCAGCTACAAAATAATTATTTCTTGTTTTTGAAAATGGCAATTAAAAATTTGAGTTCTTGTATTCATAATATACATGTAATTTCAAACAAAATGTTAAGCATTTAAAGTATTCCAATCCATCAGAAATTTGACATCAAATTATTTTATTTAAGTTACTGTAATGTGAACTATAATTTTGCTACTATGAAAATTGTTAATTAGCATATTGGGTAAAATAAACTTTAATTCTTGCATTTATATATAGCAAGAGAGTGATTAATTCAGAATTTTATAATATTTCAAACAGGTTTAGCTCACCTTTGTGAATTCATTGAAGACTGTGAACACACCTCTTTAGGCGTTAAAGTATTATATCTGTTGGGAAAAGAAGGTCCAAAAACATCTCAGCCGGGCAAATATATTCGATATATTTACAACAGATTAATTCTTGAGAATGCTCCAGTGAGAGCAGGTAAGTTTGTTTTACTCAGTTTTTTAAATAGTTCACATTAATTTATGTCTATTCAAGAGTGATTTTTTATTGCATGTGTAAAATAAAAATTTAATTTCAGGCTACATAATTTGATTCTTAATTTGGAAAAATTATCATTAAATCTAATCATATATTATGCCCTGTTTTATCTCATCTAAATCTAGCATGTAATCATTAATTGATGACCTCTTTGGGAAAAGGTTGAACTAAAGCCTTTCTAGCTGCTTTGTAGATACCTTTAATCATTACCTTGTTACAAATGAGAAATATCTGAAAATTATTGATAATTAATATAAGAGGGGCCAGACTTTCTTTCAGTCACGTATAGGCTAACATCATGTCAATAACCATGATATAATTTAATAATAATGCTGTTTGAGAAAAATAAAAACCCTGTATTTTCTTGCAAAATTTCAAACTATACAATCTTGCTTATTCACCCATTTGTCTGCATAAAGTCCTCTCTCAGTTGCCAACTAAAGTGCAGTCAAACCTCACTTAACTAGCAAAACAAAACGTTAAAAAATGACTGCCTTAGCGGGCAATGTTTTTCAGAATGAGTAATATGGAGATGTTATTACATCACGTATAGGATCCTGTCTGCATCTCCACTGTTATTTAATTGCAACAGCTGTCACCATGAGCATGAATAAGCATGCTCGATTCAGACCAACTTATTCACAAAAAAGAGTGGCTGGACATGAATTATGTAGTAGGGATTTTTCTGTTCTCTGCTCTGTTTATTTTACTTCCTGAATATTGTGTTGAAATCTATATGCATTCTTATACATGTTTGGATTTAGGGATAACAAAATTTATTTTAGAAAAAGAATGACTCAAATTCTTGTATAAAAGATTATAACATTGGTAAATCTAACATTAGCAAGTCTAAGAAGAAAGGAGCTTTGGCCGAACATCATTGTCGAACACGATCCCGAGGATTTTGAACAAGTGCTTATGGAGCCTGTAATCAACAAGATTGTATCTTTGGCCAAGATTATGGGACTAAAAGTGGATAACAATGACATTGATAAGCTAGTGTGAAAGTAGTAGTAGAAAAGAGTAGCCAAGAGTTGACCACTGGAGAGCTTATGGAGCTACATTCTGTATCACAGCTAAAAATTGTGGAGGAGATAACAGCCTCAGCAAAGCAATGATTTCCTTATTTAAAATAAGGAAAATGCTGAAAGCGTGGGAAACTGCATTGTACAGTGAGAAGCATCATCCTATTAAAGCCGTAGCTATGCATGCTACAAAAATAATTTAATAATTTAATAATAATGCTATCTCATTACTGCAAATTCAGAAGCATAAGCAAAAACAAAACATCATTGGACAACTATTTTGTAAATTGACAAATTATATTAGAAATTTTAGCTTTTCTTTTTGGGGGAAGGGGGAATGGAACATATTAATACTTTTTTACATTGATTCCTATGGAAAAAATTGTTTCTCTTAACAAGTGTGCTGCATTATGAGTAAGATTCAAGAACAAATTATGCTCTTTAAGTGAGGTTCTACTATACTGTGAATGTGGGAAATGGGCATGCCCACTGCTTTTGCCAGTTCAGCTGGATGTTGTTTCTGTAATTTTGAGAATTATTTCCTCAAAAATGTAAAACTTGTGCAAATTTACATTTTGTTTAATATAGAGTATCTAAAACAATGCATACATGCCTTTACTTTTAACAAAAAAAAAAAAAACAAAAAAAAAAAAAAAAAAAAAAAATCACAAGCTCCAACATCGTTATCATTTGTCTGTGTCATGTCATCTGAAAATAATTCTTTGTCTGTATATATTATATATTTGAAGAGAAAATAGTATAATTAAATAATAATGAAATAAATTATCTTTATTTTTTAAGATATAATGAAGCTATTTCAAATTTTTTGTGTTTTATGTGTCACTATGTTTAATAGTACTTAATAATTTTAATCAATAAGTTTAATTTCAGCGGCTGTTAGCTCATTAGCCAAGTTTGGTGCTCACTGTGAGGAACTTCTTCCAAATGTTACAGTTTTACTTCAGCGTAGCCTTTTAGACACTGACGATGAAGTGCGTGACAGAGCAACATATTACTTGAACATCTTAAATGAGAAACAAAAAGGCCTTTATTCACAGTATATTCTAAATGGTAAATTTTCTTTGTGTATATATAATAAATATTCTAAACATATGATAAATATTCTTTGTACACATATTTAATTATTGTTCCAAATGCATGGCTATCTTACCTTGTGCATACATAATTTATTTCTAAATATTGCCTTGAACTTCTTTAATTCTTTCAACCCCATAATAGCCCTAGATTACCTTGCTTGTAGAACTGTGTAACTGTGGTCGGCTAAGAGCAGTTCTTACCTCTTCGCATGCTGTTTCCTGACGTCCTATAGCGTTGCAAATTGCTTTTGGTGCTGTAGTTTTGTATTTGATAATCTCTAGTGCCAGAAGCTCTTCCTGGCATTCACTTCCTGTGTAAACTTTAAGCTGAAAAGAGTCTGATTTTTTTTATACTACTTATTCTGAAAGCTGTAAAGTGATTTCACCGTGCTTGAATTAGTCAGACATTTAAAACTAGTCCAGATCTTGATATTAATCGTCTAGTGATTTAGCTTTTACCCAGTAACTCCTTAGCAGTTCTTTTCATCTTTTATAATGGTGTAGAAGGGGCATATTTTTCTAGTGGCCTGGAGAAAAGCTTTCATCATTCTTATACTAAAGCAAGGTAAGGACCTAAAAAACCACAGCAGTAATCACTCGTACCAGCTGCCTGTACAAAGTTCTCGAAAATATGGTTAACTGCCACCTTATGTGTTATCTACAGAAAAAGTCTCTTTTGTCTCTATCAAATTGAATTCCAAATAAGTTGGTAACATTTTAGTTTTGGAAACAGCTCTTTGGAATGCTTTTGTGAAAAGAAAGTATTGTAATCATGAAAATTTTCGGATGTCATATTTGAGCAAAAATGTCCATTTTGACCACTCTCAAATCCATTTGAATATTTTTTGTGCAGCATCTGTATGAATAGATAGAATAAAGAACTCTCTTTTTTTTTTTTTTTTTTTAACTTCCTTTTACGAAGTAAAAAGGAAGTATTGTAATCTGTAATTGCAAAGCATTTTGAGTATCGTATTTCAACGGAAATATCCATTTTGACCACTCTTGAATGCAATTTAACTATGTTTTCGCGTGACATCGATACGTAAGGAGAGAATAAAGGACTTTTTCCCAAAAAAAAAAATTTATAAAACTGATTTAAAATGAATTCTGAAGAGGTGTTTTTTTTTTGTTTGTGTGTGTGTGGCGTCTGTATGTACATATATATGTATCTCGCATGACTGAAAAATGAGTGCCCTCAGAAGTTTGAAATTAATTTTGTATATAAAACTGCTGTAATATATAGATGTGCACCTCCTTATTTTAGTTGCAATTGGCCATACCAAAAGTACATATATATGTATATACGTATATCCACTCTGTTAATCGGCTCAGTGAGCTCAGTTCTTTATTCTTATTGTTTGTAAATTGTGCATTTTTAGCTTTAAAAATGATTGAATTATGTTGTTCCTATCTTCCAGTTAAGATTTTTATGCCTTTAGTTAACCTGCATGTTATAATTGTAGAATTATCAACAATTTAAAAGTGTGGCTAAGCCTTATTTGGTTGTCATAGCAGCCATATTTGTTTACATTTGAAACTTAGCAGTACAGTAGATTTGTTGCCAATCTAGAGAAACTAAGCTTTGCAACAACAAAGTAATGTCTTTTTTTAGTAACGAATTAAATTATGTTTAATTCATTCTGGAATTATCATTTAAGTTATTTAATTATCCCATATATTGACTCAGCATAACACTTGCAACAAATTAAGGCAGTTTCTACGTCTTCAGTGTTTTTTTGCCAGGCAAGACTAAAGGTAAACTTTCGGTTTTGTGCACCGAAAAATCTGCCGTCTTCCCTGCTTCCTGAATTGCTTGTTTTTGCATAAAAACTGTAATTTCAATTGTAAAAAAAAATTTTTTTAGTGTTTTAACTGTACTTGGTGTTTTATGTTTTTCTATATGTTTCAATTTTTAATGAAAATATTTTGAATTTTTATGTATTTTTTGCCTTGCTGCGAAATGAGAACTAATTAGCATTAGACAAGTGGCTCTGAATCGTCTGTGAAAAACTATTTCTTTTTTATTTGTTTAATTTCTTTTATACATCGTTTTAGATTTATTATAGTATTTGAATAGAACTTGTGGTAATTCTTCAGATGATATAATTTTTGTGCACTCTGAGTTATAAAATGAATGAGATGTAATACAATTAGGTGAACCTAGTGCCATAGTGGTACTAGGTACTAGGCTTTTGTGTCGCTAGGGTATTATAGTGAACTTTAAAGAGTGCATTTATTCTATTGTTGTTTGTGCACTATCGACGAAGTGGATTTAATTCAAAATTCGTTAACTGTTAATTAAACATGTTTAAATGAAATGCAGGAAAAGTGCACATAACTTAATATTCCGTACAAGGAACTCGTGTTGTGTACACATCAGATTTTTTCCAAAACAAATTGTAAAATCTATTCAGAAGATATTTGTTCATGACATCTGTATGTATGTATGTATGTATGTATCTTGCATAACTCAGAAACAAATAGCCTTAGAGCATTGAAATTTTGTATATGGTACCACTATAACATGTTATTGTAAATGTAGTCCCCACAACAGTAAATGGAGACTCGTATATTGATGATCTCCTGATAAGTGCTAGGATGCTGATATGCATTACATAGAAAGAAAATGGCAAATTGCCTTGAACAGGATTGTTGAATGGGCACATGAAGTATTTAAGTTTTCTAATCAGAAGATACTTTGTATTCAGTTTTGTCATAAAAGAAGCCTAGAGCTTGACCTGTAGAAATCCTTGATCCTGGTGATATCAAAAGTAAAATTTCTTTGCTTCATTTAATAGGAAGCTAACTTTTCTCCATCCCATTATATGTATGAACAAATGTTCAAAGCTTCTTAAATCTACTTCCAGTTATTTTTAATACAGCTTGGCACGCAGATCACTGATGCTTCACATGTACAATGCATTAATCAAGTCTAAATTGGACTATAGTCTCATCATCTATGGTGCAGCCTTTGTGCTGCAAAGCTTTATGGATCTTCTGTGGTACTTTCAGTAGTGAAGTGTTCACTGAATGATTTGAAACCTAATACTGATGAGGATTTCATTATTTCTTCATAGGAAAATGCAAAAATAGAACTCCTGAATATTTTCCTTAATCTTCTGTGAGCATAGATATGTTTACGACTGTTATACTCCTTCATTTACTTAATGGATTAAAGTCTAATGACCATACTATTTCGGCATTTGTTTGTGGCAGTATTATCGAGGGCATTCGATTACTACAAAGCATATTACAAAGTTGAAGGTATAAAGGAAGGAATCTGCAGAATGTTCAATTTCTGTGCCATTGTTTCTACTAGGGAAATCATCGTAGAAATTTTATTCTTGTCTCGGGCATGTGTAATAGCAGAGAATGCCAGGCCATCGCAAATGGAGGCAGTTCCAGCAGACAATTTTACAAGGGCAATGGTGATTGGACAGAGAAGGGCAGGTTGGTCCATGTGGCAAATCTTGGCTGACATATACCTGAATGCATCCACAATGCACTGGCTGTGGCAACAGTGGTTGAAACGGTGAAATCTGGTAAGTTTGAGGGGTGCCATTGCAGCCAGAGTGACGTCAGCATGCATGGATCGACGCATCCGCCAACAAGCAGTGGCGCACCTGCGATCCACTTCTACCTCCATTATGCACCATTTTCAAGACACTTTGAATGTTACCATATCGACCAGAACCATTTGCCATCGATTGGTGCCTTGTTGCCTGCTCTCGTGGTGTTTAAGAAGTCTGTCATTAACCCTGCATCATAGGTGACAGCATCTGCAATGGTGTCAGGCTCAAGCAGCATGGACGACGGAATGACACAGGATCATGTTATCAGATAGTCAAGCTTTGTTTCTCCAGTGATAGTTTCCACATACGAGTGTGGCGTCGATGTAGAGAAAGGTCCATTCTGGCAGCAACTGTGGAAAACCCTGCGCGACAACACAGCATCATGGTTTGGGGCGCAATTGTGTACGTTTCCAGGTTACCTCTAGTTCGTATTCAGGGCTTTATGATGGCCCAACGATACGTAGATGATATGTTACGATCCATACCTTCAGAGAGTGTCCAGTGCCATTTATCAGCTGTATAACGCTGACAGCCACCCTCGCATCAGTCAACGTGCTTGATCTCTCACCAATCGAACACATTTGGGAAGTGATTGGATGCCATTGCTGCATTCTGAAGGCAAACTGTGGCAATTGGTTGACAGGGAATGGATAGCCATTCCTCAGGACACCATCTGTAGTCTCAATGACTCTGTACCTAGATGTGTTGCTTTGTATCGCCGTCCAAGGTAGTCCTACAACCTACTGAGCCGATAAAATAAATCAAGTCATCAAATGGATAATAGACTGTACTCCATTGGCATTCCAAATCTTAATGAACCAAGGTCTGTTGGGCCATTATTTATTAATATACTTGTATAAAATATGGTCACATATTCAGCTAAATTTTGATATGATAAAGATGGGATTTAATTTCCTTTATTTTAAGGAATTGGTTTGTTAGAAAAAAGAAAAATATTCATTATGAAGAGCTGTGAGGTAATACTAAAAATTATAAATTAAAATTTGTACAATTAATGTATTGAGGGGGTAAGAGATTTTGTGATAGAATTTATAGGCAGTCTTGTTAAAAGTAACATTTAAGGCAAGAGTAGTTGTTTTACATTTGTAACATACTCATGTTTATGTTATAGGTTTGCAGGTATCAATTGTAGGTCTGGAAAAAGCTCTTCATCAATATACTCTTGAACCTTCTGAGGCGCCTTTTGACATAAAGAGTGTTCCACTTGCTACTCAACCATTAACTTCAGAAGAAAAGAAAACAGGTAATTTTTTTTTAAATCTCTATTGGAAAATGTTTTACGTGCTTCATTTTGGATGTGAATTTTTAATAAATGGATGCAATTTATACACAAAGAAATCAATTACTTGAATGTCTAGAAAAGTGCCAAGAATTTCTTTGAATTTAAAGTTTGAATATTAGTAGAGTTTAAATTATTGGAGTTTTTCATACAATAACTAAAGCTGTTAGTGAAATGTGCTATATTTCTTTAAATTTTTAAAAATCTTGAATATTGTATTAAAAATGCAGAAAATCAGCACACTTCAGAAATAGAGTAGTAGATTTTGTGATATTTATACTTGTAATAAGTTGAAATTTTTTTATTTTGGATTTTAAATTAAATGTAAATATGTTAAAAGATATATGCCTTTTGTGCACACTTTTAAAGTTGTAAAAATATCCTTTCCTCATTGACTATTGACAGGTTTTGCTGTGATTTGGAGTTTACTCATTGAATGTAATTAAAATTGTCAATATATCCTACAGGTTTCAGATCACTTATTTCAAAGAGAACCTGTTCCCTTAAATGTGTATCTTTGTTAATTTTAACTTTCTGAATAGTTATTACAAGTTCAAATGTTGTTTAAGATGTAATATGCTATGATGAATATCGTATTTTAAACCTTTTTAATGAAAGATTTTCGATGCAAAACTGTGCATGAAATTGCAAATGTGATGCAATACTGCATATTTAGCCTATTGAATGATGCAATATCAATTTATACTTTAACAGTCATGAAATAGTGCAACAAGGTGGAAAATGCTCCTAAACAAACAAACAAACAAAATTTTTGTAAAAGGTCCAAGATGATTAGTTTTTATTACTTTTTCTCATTTTACTTTTAACTGAGTGCAGGTCCACTGTGATACAACAGTTCACGTTCAAAATGGTTATTGCATCAAGATTGAATTTAAAGATAATTGTTTATAACAGCCTTTCAACCCGTTTCATCGTCGAACAAAACATTTTTCCCCCTCGTATACAAAATCTGCATATTATCTATTCCAATAATCTACTAGCATCTAATCTTTATGATCTTTTATTGTCCAGAAGAACAGTAAAAGCTAATTTTTGTGTGTATGGGGAATACGCAGTAATTGGAATTTGTACTGAGGAACTGCTTGTCTCAGACTTTTTAAACAAGTGGTTCTAGGTTAGAATATGTGTAATATGTAATAGGATTTGGGAACAGCTGTAATGGGCTGGCAGACAGATGTGGCCAAATTCAATATACTTTTATTTTTTGGATAGAACAATTCTGGAGATGCAATATTTTATTCACACATGATTATGGTGCAAATATGCATACCACAGTAGTTAAGCTATGACGTATCACATTTTAAGCAATAGAAGATACTACAAAAAGCAAACAGATGTGGGTTAATTAAGCATCAGCAAGCATAGAAGGAGAATGCATAGTTAGATTGCAGTAATATTTATAGTAAAATGTTTCTTTAATCTCATTGTCTTAAAACTATACCTAATGCAGATATGAGCAGTTTTGAAAAAGCTGTTACTATTTTTAGAATAGAGAGATGGGAAGTGTCCTAATTAAAACGAGGAATGAAGGGCTATTGCCAATGTAATGTTGAAGTTATATTTATATTATACGCACACATATATAAGCTGGATGATAATTCATGTCATATCAAAAATCTGTATGAGATTCTCTAAACCAGTGCTTCCCAATGTGGGGGCCCAATTCGATGGTTAAGGGAGGCAATTCGAAAATGTTCTCATCATAAATGATTGATTTGCTGCCTAAAAAAAAGAAAAGAAAAGAATCGGCTATATATAATAAAACTGAAAGTCTTGAGAATTTCTTTCTGACTGAAGACTGAGGAAATCTATTTGCATCAAGCCCAAGGATTTCGATAAAGGTAAATAATAAATGATTACTATAAATAATATAGAAAAAACTTTCATTAAAATTATTTTGTGCTTGAACTTCAGTTCTCCATTATGTGTTTTGGAAATTTACTTACTGCGTTTGCTCACCAGATTTCCTAGTTTTTTTTCTTCCTGAAACCTATCATACAAGTTTCGTTCGTGAACATTTCAATTTTTGAATATTAAAAATTATGTATATGCTAGGGGGGCATAAGAATTTTAGAAAGGATTAGGTGGGGCAATAGCTCAAAGAAGGTTAGGGAAACACTGCATCTAAACAGATGGTCTAATTTCCATGAAATATGCCTCTGCATATTGAACAGTTCACATCTTTTGGAATTTAATGCCAAAGCAACTGAAATAGTTTTATTTTTGATTTCATTGAAAAGCAGAGCATTGTAGAGATACTCAATAACAAATATGAAAACACTTGCTGTCACATGTAGATGTTCGTATTATATAGAGTAGAATAGAGTTTGATGTTATATTTTTTCTGTAACTTCTTATCCTATACCATCAGTTGTAAATTCAGCTTACCTTGTGTAATTAAGCTGTAAAAGAAAATGAATAACTATATTTAATAATATGAATTAAATTAATATGTTAATAAGGAAACAATGAAAGATACTAATATCATATCTGGCTATTACCTGTAATCCTTTTTATATTTATTTCTATTATTTTAATGTTATATGTGATAGTTATGTTTTTTTTTTTTTTTTTTTTTTTTAATATTAATAGAATTAAGAATATTCGTCTCAATGTTTAATTCCCCCTCTCCCCCACCCCCGGTTTCAAGCAAAGTTTTAATATTTTTAAATTCTTTTTCCAGAAGTACCAGTTATTGGTAAATCTAAAGAAAAAGTTGCTGCATCTCGGCAAGATATATTTGCTGGTATTTATATTTTAACATACCTACTCTTATTTTTGGTAGCATTAGTAGTTATTGAAGATTTATTATGTTTTAAAATTTTATTAATTTCTTAAACTTTTATAATTATATTAGAACAATTAGCTGCTGTTCCTGAGCTTGTTGCTCTAAATTTGGGTCCATTATTCAAGTCATCACTTCCCATCGAACTTACAGAATCTGAAACAGAATTTGTAGTGAGATGCATAAAACATACATTTACTAATCACATTGTACTTCAGGTAAAGGATTCAAATTATCTTTGGGCATCAACTTTTTTCTCATTTTTATGTATGTGATAATGTATTGATGATATAAAGAGAACTATTTTTATTCATAATCATTTTCTAATTATTTATTGCAGTTTGATTGTACAAATACATTATCAGATCAAGTTTTAGAAAATGTGTATGTCCAAGTTGAACCAAGTGATGGATTTGAAGTAGTCTGTTATGTTCCTTGTTTAAAACTTCAATATAGTATACCTGGAACAACTTATGCTTGCGTGAGCCTACCTACAGATCCTCTTGTAGGCAAGTTATTATTTTTCTTTTGTTAATCAGTTCCAGCCTAAGGCTGCAGATACAGGGTTAACTTAAAGAGTTTTGCAGACTTAATACTTCTAGAGTTTTACAGAAACAAGAGTTTTATTAGTGCAGCTGAAATACTTAAAATGGTTAGAAGATTAACATGATTAAGTTAACATGGTTAAGTTAAAAATATTCTGTATGCGAAGTTAAAAATATTCTGTATTTCAAACATAGAGAAATGTCATGCCAAACATTTCTCTATGTTTGAAAAAAAAAAAAAAAAAGTGCTTCTTCTCCCCCCCCCTCTTTGGTACACTTTGGAAGGTTTAAAATTTCCATGGTTGTTCCTCTTAACCAGTTCTTTGCAAATATGCAGGATATAAAATTTACAATCGTTAGTTTTGGATGTATTAAAAAATAAATGATGATATGTTTTTAATAATCATGCAACATTTGAAGAGGTTTGGTGCAGTATTTTTTCAAAAAAGTATACCAAACTAGCACACTGTCACAAGAGATTCGTAAAGTAAAAGAAATTAAACAACTGGTTTCTAAAAACATTAGGCTTTTAATTTATATTTTATGTGTTTTATATAAGGAACAATCTGTCTACTTTAAATGAAAAAAGACTCTAGAGTGTAAGTTTATTTTGAGAAAAGTTGTACCCTAATAACTTTCGTCTCAGAATAGTTGCGTTTTGCCATTCGAAATGTCGCTTGTCCCCTTAAGTAGGAAATTTCATATTTCAAATGATGGTTAGTTGAAGAAGAGTTTTTAAATTTTTATATTTGTGTAATGAAGTAAATCTATTTGTTCATGGAAAATTCTTCATGGAGGCTTGTAGAGACATTAGGGTTTTTTTGGGGGGGAGGGAGGAAGCAGGCAAGATGAAAAATTAGCTATGTCTTCGCCGGGAATCAAACCACGAACCTCTGGAATACATGCCCAGCGTGCAGACCACCACACCATGAAAGCAGGAGAAATACCTTATATATTCCCCTTTCTTTTTTTAAAGGGTGACTGAGATTTTTAGGGATCCTGATTGCCAAATTCTAGGTGGGGAGATTCATCATCCACCACCGTTTTAGTTTGGGCGGCGGTGTAGAGACATTAGGTATTTTTTTGGAAGTAGGCAAGATGAAAAAATTAGCAACACCTTCTCCGGGAATCAAACTGCTTATCTCTGGAATACGTGCACAGCATGCAGACCACCACACCAGGAAGGCGGGAGAAATACCTTATAGACTTCTTTCATAAACAATCTAAAACATGGAGAACAAACAACTTTGCAGAAGCAGATCAGAATATGAAATATAGTCTGTTATAAATTGCATTTGCAGAAGCAGATCAGAATATGAAATATAGTCTATTATAAAGTTAATTTTAAAAAGTGTTTATTTGATGGATGTTACCACTCATTTTAACTGCTTCCCTTATAATTTTTTGAAAAAAAAAATTGCAAAAAATCGTCATTTTTTTATTCCATTATTAAATATAAGGAACTGAAACAAAACAATATGCAGGTTTTAAGTTGAATTTTTAATTTTTTACAGGTTTGAAAGCATTTTGTTTTATTACCAGTTTATTATTCCGAGTTGTCTCTGCCAAATGCAGAAATTTTATTAGTCTTTTTTTTCCTTGTTTCAAAAACTATTATAGAAAGTGATACCTGGCATTTAATACACTGATATCTGGTCTCTCTTCTTACTGGTTTACCTCTAGAATCTCTTTTATGGGAGTGCCCAGAGGAATGAGGTGCCCAGTTCGATTCCATGCCTAATGGGGTAAGGGCCGTATTAGCTGCAAGGTTTGGTAGCTGTTTCTACTAATGTTGCACCTCTGTAAACCTCTAAATGCTTACAAATTTAATCTTTTTTTTTCCTTTATGCCGTACTGTTTATGTGCAATAAATCTTTTTTGTATCTGCTTTCCTTCATGGTGTTGCAGTTTTAAAGGCCAGCAGTGTAGTTTTGGATGAGGATGTGTACTTTCATCACATGCATCACTGTCTTTGTAAGTGTAAGTTTTGCTTTATCTGGGAAAGTCATCTGTATGACAGTAATGTTGCAAAAAATGGCATATTCTGCAACTGATTTTTACTCCAATAATCTTGCAGATCCAGTTTCTTTGTTTAACTTAAAGAATAGTTATTCCCCCCTAAAAGAATTTTATTTTGAGAAATAGAGTTTTGACTCTATTTCTCAAACGACTTCTATGATGTTGAATGCAATCTGCAAGCGTGCTTTGCCACATGCCGATAAGTTTTGGTTTTAATAATATCAATCGGTTCATCATCAAAATATTTTCTGTAAATATAGAAAAATTCCAAATTATTACAGATATTATGAATTTTGAAATTCATACCTGGTTTTGCAATAAAACGAGCAAGTGACAGTTTTTTTTTTTTTTTTTTTTTTTTTTTAATTTTTCACCTTCCATGAGGTACTTTTTAATTTTTCACCATACATAAGACTACTTACAGAAGAATCACTTCTTACCTCTTTATAATCACTATTTGAAAAATCTTCTACATTGCTTTCATTCACATTCACCGTTTTTTTACTCTTTTCCAATTTAACTATCGTTACTTATCTAGCAGTGACCATACATAAAATTGCACAAAACATATGTCCACTCCCATCATCCAACAACAAAACGCTTCAAAAAAGCTTTGCAAACTACCAATCAAAGCAGAATATTTTTCTTTTTAAACTTCAGGCCAAGTAAAAACAAAACAAATCGTCCTGACAATTTTTTTTATGCCCAAGTTTTCTCATGATAATAATTAATCACAGTATATATGAAGAGATAACTTGGAATAATCAGTGAAAAAATTAAAAATACATATGCAAAGCCCTGAGTATTCATGTAGGTCAGCATTCTCAATCTGCATACCTTGTGTGGTCCCCCTAGATTTCCCAAACAGACAAAAAATAAAATTGCATATACCACCCTATAGCTGAAAATCTCGGAGCTTAAGAAATTCAATTTGGCAATGTATACTATGTTTTCTCCCAACACTGACATTTTACCTTGGCAGCAAAAAAAAAAAACAAATTTAGTTAGACACTATGACTGTGATGTGTCTTATCTGCATACATCCAAAGAGAGAATAGTTATGTAAGAATCAGTAGGCCCATCCATGCCATTAATATGGAAACCAATATGTTTTTAATTTCTAGATATATCTATAGGAAAAAAAGTAACTCACACTCCTAAGAAGATTGTGTAAAAATATCACTTACTAGTGTCATTGGTAATCCATTTATTTCAAGGCATTCAGCACATTCTGCCATAATATTAATTCTGTACATAAATGAATTTTGTAATTTTGTGAGTATCAGTTTTATGTTTATCAGCATTCTCGTATTTCCTCTTCAGTTATCAGTATTTTATCATTGTTTTCTTATATTGCTGAAAAACAAAAAATCAATATTTTTTTTTTATAGTTATTGGTACATTTGGCAATACTTTAAAATATCTAGTAAAAGACTGTGATCCAAATAGTGGTGAGACAGATGATGATGAAGGCTATGAAGATGAATATGTGGTTAGTAATTTTTACCATATTTTTGGAAATTTATGTAATACAGTCAAAAGTCGTTAATCGGGACTTCGGCGATTCTGGATTATAGATCACCAGTTTAAATCTGGTAAGATGGCATGCAGAAATTACAAAATTAAAAATATGAAACCGTAATTTATGAAATAAAGAACAATTATGATCTAAAGGGTATCAAAATTTACAAAAGAAAAAGCTTAATATTTATTTGTTTACTTTATTAAACATTTCCTTCAATGTAAGTTGCTTCGTTTCATGTGATAATACTTTCTCTTTAATTCTATTAAACAGACATAATTTCTTGTTTAGTTACAAAGTTCCGCTGTTCAAGTCCTATAAATGCTGTGTCAAGAATACCCACTAATTTGTCAATCGAAATGTTTTCATTTTCAATAACCTGTGGGTCACTTTCTTCACTATCCGAAGCGAATTATAATGACAATGACGAGGAACTTGATTTAAATCATATCAAAGACGAAATGAAATACTACACTTAGTAAGGAATTATAAGCCAAATAAAATAAAAACATCTGCCCTGAAGATAAGGATAGTGCTGACAGATCAACTTCCAATCCGCAGCGTGAAATTGATAAACAGATTTCGGATTTCAAAACATACTTTCGCTTTGTAGATACAAATTACATATTAGTAAATATATATCGGAAATTCAATTTGATATAATCGAAAGTTCAAGCTTACTTTTATGAAATTGCTTTAACAGTCCGCAAAAAATAATAAGCCGGATCCAATTCGAAGATTAAGGAACAACGCAATCTGCAACATTAACTGAATTAAATAATTTTTGCTTAGATTATACCGTTCGTTACACATTAAACGCGCATGCGCAAAAATATATTCGCATCCGTAAAGGTCTTACGCGCACTCGTAAACGCCTGTGCGCATGCATGAACGCTACACATGCGCAGAAAGTTTGTAGCTTTGAGGTCCGGATTATGGGTGTCCGAATTAACGACTTTTGACTGTATGTAATTATGCAATGAATTTCTCATTTTCAATTTAAAATAGTTTAGTAACATTCTGTGTGTTATTTAAAATGTTAAGTTAATGTATTCGGTGCCAATTTGTAAATGCATAATATATTCATGGCAACTTTTTTGACAAATTCAGCTTTAAATTGATAGATTTTTTATAATTATTGTTTGTAAGAAATTCTCACTGTTTTGTGTTTAATTTTGCTCACTATTTTGTTCACTAGTGCAGTCATTTCTAAGAATTTGTGATTGTTAAAATCAGTATTGGAGTAAATATTATGCAAAATTAGAAAGGCTGTATTAGATGTATTTCTTTTTTTAGTCAGTCTTTTGAAAAAAGTGAGATTAAATTTGTTTCAAAGATGTGAGTTAATTTGCTACACAAAATATTTTTAATTCATTAATTTCAGTTAACTCTTTTCATAAAGTCTAATGCTTAATTTTTTGCACCAAAAATATTTCTTCTAAAACAAATGAGTGATGATCAAAATCTGATTACAGTTAGAAGATTTGGACATTTTATTAAGCGATCACATGCAGAAAGTTTTAAAAACAAACTTCAGTGCAGCATGGGAAGAAGTCACTGCCAAAAATGAACTCGAAGATACCTATGCTTTTAATTTAAAAACACTTGAAGGTAAGAGAAAGAAAGAGACTAGTTTTCTTAAACTTTTTATTAACAATAAGAAATATTACTTAGTGCATTTTTCTTTCTTTAGAAGCAATTAAGAACATTTTACATTACCTGGGAATGCAGCCATGTGAACGGTCCGACAAAGTGCCAGAGAACAAGAGTTCACATGTCCTTTATCTGTCCGGTGTCTATCGTGGAGGACACACTGTTCTAGTGAGAGCAAAATTGGCTCTACGTGCTGAAACCGAAGGAGTAACTATGAACATTGCAGTGAGGAGTACTGATCCTAATGTCAGTGAAGTAGTGGCATCAATCATAGGATAATTATTTGTTTCATGGTATAAAGTGTACATTTTTTGCAACAGAAGCCGACAACCAAAGTGTCGGGACTATATGTATTTGTTAATGATGAATATCATATGTATTTTATATATTTTCTTTCCTGGCACCATCAGTCAGATCCGTATTCGGAGCCTCAATCATCCTGTCTTCCTTTTCTTGTGATTTGTTTTTCAGCAACCATTAATGCTCATTCTGGCAATTTTGCATTTTTACACATCTTAGCAGTTTTAATTCAGTTTTTACACAAAGTTAGCCCTCAGTTTTAAGCTAGTTTTGTTTAAAAATGTTTGGTTTTAAAAGGCTGGTTGTATATTAAGAATATACTCTGAATTTAATCGCTTCAACTTGTGCAATAGGAATTGAAACTAATTTTAATCATTTTTCAAATTTTTTGTTAAATTGTGAAATTTTTTATTTTATATATTTTTATAACTGCAAATTGCTAGGTAATATTTTTTCGCTAATTAAAATTTGTTCTAATAAAAATTATTTGTATTTCTCTTGTAGAGATTATTCAACTTTTGTGTGCGAGTAATTATTTATTCTAAATAATTAAATTTAAAAGGCTCTGATTCGTACTGTGGTTAAAATAGTTTTTATAGTAATTTCACCTTAGTTTGAGTATTTTGGGAAGACATTTCTGAACATTTATCAGATATGATATGGAAAAGGTAATTTTTGTAATTTTCTCGAAAAAATTTATATAAATATATATCATTCCATACCACTCATCAACTTCTGTTTCATTATTGTTCAAATAAAAATATTAGCTATTTTCATTGTATGCATTTTCATCTTTTATATGAAACATTTTAAGTGTTTGTTACACAAATTAATATTGTTTTGGGACTTCACAGTGAATTTGGTCTATTGAAGAGGAAGAATTTACTAACACTATTAAGCATTTTAAGGATTTATAAAATAATTTTTTCTAAATAAATCTTAATTCTGAAGTGAATAAAAGCACTGAGTTGTTATGAAATCGTGTACTACTAATCTGGTTAAGCAATAGCTTTTATCAGACAAAGGCAACATTTCATTTTCTAATAAAGATATAGCATTGTTCCAAAAGGCAGTGCATTAACAGATCTTGCAGTTCAGCATGTAACTCTCTTTTGATGTAAAGTCAACACTGAACAGTGACTATCTATTATTGACTACATGAATTTAGTCAATTTTAAATAACTAGTAGAACATAAGAACAACTAGAAAACCTTGAAAATGCCTTGCATTGACAATTTCTTCTAATCCATCAAAATTTTATTGCCCTAGTATCTTTAATATGACCCACATCCCCACACATATTAAAACTTAAGAATACACAAAACACCATATTTCCTTCAGTTCTCATTTACCAGTTTGAATTGTATGATGAATGATGATAAAATTGCATATTAGGTATTTTATTAAAATGATTCTCAGTTTTAAGTAATATTCCAATCAGACATAAAATTCAACTAAATTTCATCCCATTAGTTTTTTCCCTCCCAAAATGCTATAAAATCTTTTACAATGCAATTAATAAAGTATTTCATCTAATCTGCTTTCCACCCGTCTCTAGGTTAGAAATTCTTTAAGTGGTATTTCACATATGTACATGCATTAAACACGTTAATTCATACAGCCAAACCCCACTATATGTGATCTGATAAGGAGGGATGTATCTCCTTACAAAATAGCATAAAAATTGATTGATGAATCACTGAAATGATGATTAGCACCGGCCTCATCTCCTAAAAGGTGTGGATAGTAAATTTAGTTTTTAAAAAATGCAAATTAAAAGTTAATTATAACAAGGTACAATAAATAAAATTGTTTCATTATACATTAAATTTCACATGAAATATTACTTGGCATAAAAGCCTTGGTTTAGATCCAGCTCTCCAATTACGGAGTTCGATCTAAAACATGGATTTAAAATTACAAATAAGCAACAGCTTTGAGCTGAGAGTGTTTTGTATCAATGGTTCTTTGGCTCAGTGCATGACATGGTTGTATTTCCCAAGATATATTTATATCAAGAATTGAGTGCTATACCTGTCTCACATAGCCCTTTGTTTAAAATGCAGGGAATTATGGGGATTATGATAAAACTCTAATAGCTTAAACAAAATTTAAGGATTTAGAAATTTTATTAGTTGAAAGTTACAGGAATTTGGAAAAAAGTTACGAAAAAAAAGTTTGTTATATCCAATTTTTTTATACCTTTGGAAGTTTGCTGTAGCTCTATAAAATAACTTTAAACCTAAGGAAAATGGATAGAACCAAAAAGTTTTTCCTTTACAGGTTTGCTATAGCAAGATTTGACTGTCTTTAAAAAAAAAAAAATTAACAATTTTTATTTTAGGCAAATGTGTTGCTTTTTCAAATTTATTTAAAAATACTTCAAAAAGGATAATGTAAGATAAACCCGTATACATAAGAATAAGAAATGTTTATTTCATACCTCGTGGGTTTATTTTATCCTTTCAGAAAAAATTATTTTATGGCAGATCATAATGCAAAGTAGGCAACTATGATACATCTAATTACGCATTCCTTTAGAACAATACATCAATCTACCTTTTAGGCTTGACTGCATATTTTAACCCACATACTAATAATGTATTAAACCATTTTTAGCTAAAATGATAGGTGGCATACACTAAAGCATTGGCTTATTGGTAAAACTACAAGATATGTTTTCTCTAACATTGTTTTTAATTCCATTTGCATATTTGCCAAACGGACATTTCACTCTACAAGGCTTATGCCCTACAGGAAAATGAACGTTCTCAGCTTTGTGCAAGGAGCAAGAATTTAAAAGAGTAATATAATAACCCTACCTGTTAATATGTGCTAGGTTTGGCTCCCTGCAACAGAACACATTAACTGCATGTAGTTTTTGTGGTTTTTTCCTATGTGTACCATAGAAAGACTCTTGTAAAAGTAGATCTTAAATACTTCCCAATAATGAATTACCAGTTTGAACTAGTTTGGCATTTTGAATCTGTATTCTGAATGCTAAGTAACAACCTATGCTGGCACTTTTTAGGTTTTCATTTAATACATTTGCTGTCACCTATGAGAATATTCATGGAGTGAATATGTGAATATACTTGGCTTACTGAAATATTTCACTCTTTCTTAAAATAGGTACAATAACTAAATGTTTAAAAGTGCAAAAAAGAAAGAAAAAATTTTAATTTTTATTGACTTGGTAAATGCTATTAACAGACTGCTCAAATTTTTGTTCAGTAGCTTGTGTAAAGCTAATGGGAAATAATGTGTCGCATGTGCAAGAGTGTCATGTAAATGTGTAGGATGGTTGAGTATTTATCTAGTTCCAAGTTATCTCGTAGTTGGCACAAAATTAGATAAACTTTTGACGTGCACCATATCAGTTTTGGCAGCAAATGTGGTAACATTCCATTGCTGACATAAAAAATTTGTCAGTGTTCATGTAAATACAGGGTTCGTAGCGGTCCTTATAAGTCCTTATATTTGAAAATAAAATATAAAGGCTCTTATAGGTGCTTACTTTTTCTTTACCCTTATTTTTTTGTTTTTAGTGCTTTTTTTTTTTAATGAACGCGATATTTTTCTCCATATATAAGCCGAAACTAAATAAACTTTTCTTCCTAATATGAAATGTCGGTGAATCATACTCCCGGAAATAGCTTTTCCCCCTTTCTCTGCATAAACATAACCTTTGGTGTGCACGAAGAGTACAGACAGATGCCCGTCGTTCTATCCGTCAAGGAATTGCGAAAGCAGTAGAAAATTCCGGTACATTCGGCATTCTTTTCATCCCACCCAAATACTACACACGTTTGAATTTCTATCAAGATCTTAATAATTTGCATTCTCGTTCCACTTGCTCAGTTCATATTAATAATTTGCATTCTCGTTCCACTTGCTCAGTTCATATTCGTGTTTATTATGATTATTATGCTTATATTATGAGCATATGTATGAATGTTTATAATAACATAGTTGCAGTAAATGCTGAAGTATAGTAAACTTCCAAAAATGGTTGTGTTTTAACACAGATTAGCTTTCTAAGGAATAATATTCGGAATGGCTTAAATAAAGGGAAAGTAATCGAATAGTCAAAATAATTTCATTTTTTTGGCCAATACATTATACAGTACGAAGATTGGGAGGTTCTCCCTTTTCTTCGCAAAATCTCGAATATTGGAACTGTTACAGTTCGTTGCAAAACAAGAAACGGACCTTTTTTTTTTTTTTTTTTTTTTTTTTTTTTTTTTTTTGTCATTTTCCAATCTGGATTGAATAGGACTAAAAGTTCTGCGGTCTACCAAGCAAAGAATGATTCTTATTCCGGAAATTTAATGCATAGTCTGTTGAAAATTAGAATGAAAAACCAGATTGGTAAGTCTCTTTATTAATCAATATGAGTATGGCAGGGATATCGCGTGGAGCGCGATTATCTGCTCAATGATAAATCTGCCACATGGGCGCATGACAGTGAAAACGGGAGGAAGCAAAGTTGTTTTCCTTTATTTAGTTATTTATTCTCCGAATTCCACAGGTGTTGATTCCGATTGCGTAATATCACACAGGGAAGATGAATTAAGGCACCACGTATTGCGCAATAACGTTTGCGATATTTCTGCAGAGATAATTAGAGTTTTGACTGTGCTGTGCTAAGCAGATTTGTTTATGAACACTTAAAAGAGTTTTCCTGTGCTTGCTAAGAAGAATATTTTTCAGTTCCATTGGTTTTTTTTTTTTTTTTTTGTATGATGCACATATTGAAATGTCAAAAGCATTTATTTAGCTGAAAAATCTAAAGAGCGGCTTCAGTCTACCCTTCCCCCTCCGCTCCTCTTTTTCAAGTTACGCTCGGCTGTTCGAATATTCGCCAGTTTCCAAGTATGCGGGTTAGTTAAGCTTTTACTGTTAAAGGATGACTGCATGAAGCAAATTTCTGTCTTCTGATTTCAGAAATGTTCCTCTTTTGTACTTAAATTACGTTGCTTGCAATATCTGTTAAGAGAAAACTGATATACAATGAAAATTTAGAAAATGTTCAGAATTTAGATTTAAATTATTTAAATATCAATATGAGTGGAAAAATAAATTGTATTTATTATTAGGTTCCAAGCGAATACCTTATTATTATTTATTTTCTCTATTTTGAACTGAAATTTTATCATTAAATTTTGTAATATAGTTTACTTCTGCATAGTTTTTTTTTTTTTTTTTTTCCCTCTCATTGTAAACTAGTTCTGTAAATCGAACTGTTATTTAAAATTTAAAAAAAAGTAATTATTTTCCATGGTTGAGGTAATGCTTATTGTCTCTTAATAAATACTGCATTTCTCACATTTTAAATTACAAGTCTAATTTTTAAGGTTATGCAGTTGTATATAATGTAATTAGACAGGTGCTTATTTTTTTTCTTAAAATGTGCTTGAAAAGTGCTTATAGGTGCTTATTTTTTTAACTAAAATGTGGCTATGAACCCTGAAATACCTATTAGCTGTTTCAACTGTTTTAGAAAATAAACCTCGCTAGCTCATGTTTGGTATACAATATAAATTTAAATATGACCTTTAATGAGACTGCAGTTTTGCCTTGCATTTAGTGGCTCCTTTCAATTGAAAGGTATGAAAACATGTATTAGTCAAATAGTATATTCTAGTTGGGGGGACTGTATTCCTAGTTACTGTAATGGTTCAAGAAACAAAACTAATTTTCTAGTTAAATATTACTACAGTGGAAAACAGCTGTTTTTCCCCTTTCCTTTTAACTAAGCTTGCACATGGATAATAAAAT